AAGATGAAAATTTTGTGTCAAAAATTATAAAAACTATAAAAGAGACAATTACATTTTATGCAAAAGATGAGGTAGAGTTTAATGAAAACGATAACATAGTTGGAAATTGTGAATTGTCTATCAATGACCAATTATTTTTTGAAACTTTGATAATGCCATTGCGGGGTGAATCTATATCCTATGGCTCGTTCATTAAGAAACAAAACATCAGTCGGGAAAAGGAACTGGAAAGAAATATCGAAGTACTGGAACAAAGACTAGTGACATCGAGTGATAAGACCGCATTACTAAAAGAATTAAGTGACAAAAAGTCACAACTTGAAACCTATCGCTTAAAAGTAAATGATGGAATTATCATGAGATCTAGAATCAAATGGATGGAGCTGGGAGAAAGGTCATCAAAATATTTTTAAACTTGGCAAAACAGAATAAAGTAAATAAAGAAATACGGCAATTGTCAACAGAAAATGGAGATGTTATTAGTGGACAAGATGGTATATCTAACGAAATCTTTAAATTTTATTCAAACCTATATAAGGCGAAAGACACTGAAGAGGTAGATATAGACACATTATTAACTATCCAGATATTCCTAAGTTAACTCCAGAATTGTCCACATTATTAGAAGGTCCTTTGAGTGAAAGTGAGGTTTGTTTAATGCTAAAAAGTATGAAAAATAATAAATCCCCAGGGCAAGATGGCTTCACCGTTGAATTTTTTCGTTTCTTTTGGCAATATCTTAAAACGTTCATTATCAGATCTTTGAACTTTGCTTATTTTACAGGAGAATTGTCGCAGTCACAAAAATTAGGAATTATCACTTTAATTCCTAAAGGAAACAAGCCTCGACATTTATTAAAGAATTGGCGTCCTATTTCACTTTTAAATGTTATATACAAAATAGCATCTGGGTGCATAGCTAATCGATTAAAGCAAGTATTGCCCCGCTTGATACATGAAAATCAAAAAGGATTTTTGAAAGGCCGTTTTATCGGAGAAAATATTCGTTTACTTTATGATATATTATTATATACCGAACTTAATGATATTCCAGGCATGTTGTTGATGATTGATTTTGAAAAGGCCTTCGATTGTATATCTCACAAGTTTCTAATCAATGTCCTTGACTTTTTTCATTTTGGGCCATCGCTGAAAAAATGGATTAATCTATTTTATCAAAATGCTTCTTCTTGTGTCACAGTAAATGGTTTTTGCACAGAAAGATTTACTATAGGACAAGGGTGTCGTCAAGGAGACCCATTATCTCCATACCTGTTTTTACTTGTTAGCGAAATATTAGGAATTATGATTAGACATTCCAATGATTTAATTGGCTTGCATCTACAGGGAAAAAATAGTAAACTACTACAATACGCAGATGACACCATTTTGACACTTAACGGTACAAAAGAAGATTTACAGAGCTCATTGAAAATATTGGGTGATTTTGAAGAAATGTCAAACCTAAAGATTAATATTACAAAAACTCATGTGATATGGATTGGGAAAAATAGAGCCTGCAAAAAACAGCTAATGCCAGAGCACAAACTAAATTGGGTATCAGAAGGTTATTCGAGATACTTAGGAATAGATTTTTCGGTTAACTTAGTAGAGATGGTAAATCATAATTATACTGAAAAAATTAAGGATATAAAACGCCAAATTATTTCATGGTCCAAACGAACCTTAACTGTCCTCGGAAGAATAACTGTAGTCAAATCTTTGTTGGTGCCAAAATTGAACTATTTGTTGCTTTCACTTCCAGAACCGAATTCGCAAATTATGAAAGATATAAATCGTTCTTTGTATGCATTTATATGGGGTAACAAACCTGATAAAATCAATAGAGAACAAATGTGTCAACTGTATAATAAAGGTGGGGTTAAGATGATTGATATTTACATTCATGCTAAATCCCTGAAAATATCATGGATTAGAAGATTTGTAACTAATTCTCAGATAGAAAGTTTCACTTTTCACACGTTCAATTTATTCTTGCCCCAAACCTATTTTTTTCACCTGTATATGGGCTCACATTATTTTAGAAAATTAGCAGACTTGACTCCAAATCCATTTTGGAAAGAGGTCCTTTTCGCTTGGTCAGACTTGGTCGAACTTCTTATTGACGACATTGCAAGTCAACCTCTCTGGAATAACCCCCATATTAAAATAAATGACAAAGTGGTATTTTGGGGGGCTTGGAATTTACGAGGAATACGTTTTGTGAATGACATCCTAAAAATAGATGGTTCTTTTTGTTCATATTTTGAGTTTCAACGGAGATTTGACATACAAACAAATTTCCTCCAGTACTATGGTCTTTGTAATGCAATTCGGTCAGGTTTTAAAATGACTACACATGTAGCTCCTAGTAAGGCCTTAGCACCTATCATTCCCGAAGCCGTGCACCTTGTGGTGAAAACAAATGTTGGTTGTTCACATATTTATCAGTCTTTGCTAAAAAACAAAGTAAAAGAATGTAAAGCCCTTACAAAGTGGAAAAGTTTTTTAGATTTTCAAGATGTACTTTGGGGTTCGTACTGTCAAATTCCATTTCAGTCAACAATAGATATCAACATGAGGTGGTTTCAAATCAAGATTTTAAATAGAATATTATATATGAAGGACAGTTTGTTAAGATTTGGTGTAGTGGCTGACAAGAAGTGTACTTTTTGTAGTAACAATGATGAAACTATCATACATGTTTTTTGCTTTTGTAACTATTCTAATGAAGTATGGTCGAAGTTAGAGTTCTGGATATTTCGTAATACGGGGGAAAGGATCAAATTTACAAATCAAAATAAATTGTTTGGATTTTGCGGTAGCAATAATATTGCACTCAACTGTGTTCTGATGGTTGTAAGACAAGAAATATTTTCAGCTAAATTACGAAATCAACTACCATCATTTGATATAATTTTATCAGCTGTAAAACGTTATTATAAAATGGAAAAATATATATACCAAACAAATCTCAGAGAGAATAAACTAAAAAAGAAATGGTTTCACTTTAGAAAATATTTTGGGAGTGTTGGAAATGTGCTAACATAAACATGATCATGTATTTTATGTTTGGTATTTAAAAAAAAATTATATGTTTAAAGTACTAATTTTGTCATAAATGTTTGTTTTTATCTGCCACAAAAGTTTTTGGCCGTGATGATTATTATCTGTGTCAAGCCATTATGTATGGAAATTATTTCTTTAATTATTTGTATATGATATATGGATGTTCTGTATATGATGAAATTTGTTTTGAAAAATAAAGAACCCTGTGGAAGGGGAAAAAAAACTATAAAAAAAAAAAGTTTTGGAACTTACTTCCTATCAATGTAACTAGATCTGTCAGTGTCTTTGTTTTTAAACGCAAATTGAAATTACATTTATTGAGTAACTATGTCGACAATTAACGTAAAAATTATATCACCAGAAGTGATATTAAGTAATAATTTATTAATTGTTATTGATAACGTGCATTATCTTTTCGTTTTTGTTATGTTTGATTATTCAATATAAATGACAGCATTTCACATTCTCTCTCTCTCTCTCTCTCTCCCCCCCCCCCCCCCCCCCCTCTCTTCTATTTTTCCTTTTCTTTACACCAAATACCATTTTCCCCTATAGGCCTATACATATAACTTTCTTCTTTCTCTGTTTTTCTCTGTTTTGTTGTTTTTCTCGTTCCAGTTTGCTTTTTTCCTCTCGATCCTTTTGTTTATATTTTCATCCTCTCCTTTTCAAGTTTCAAGCTATCCCTTTTGTAAATATTTCCCCCATATTTAATCATGTGTAGTTTTGATAACTTTGAAACATTTTAAAAAGTGAAAAATTGATGGATTATGTTATATGGGGACCTCGCTCTTACAAGCCTAGACAGAAATAACCGCCTGATATGGGTCATTTCTTTAATAAAACTGACCTTTGTTGACATTCCCATCTATAATCGGAGGTCTAGTGGAGCCAGACGTAGTCTCAGTGGAACAACCGACGATATAGAGAGACTGAAGCTTTTCCTTTCTAAGGTCTCCACTTTCTTTCATTTTAATTATATATCGACTTAAAATTGCACTTAAATCGTTTTTTCTTAAGCTGTTTTTGTTCTATTATTACATGTAAAAATGTTGTGAAAGAAATAAATAAAATGAACCTTGAACCTTGAACCTTGAAACTTGAACCTTGAACATATTACACTGTATAGCAGGCCTTCTCAACTAGTTTATTAGAAGTGCCAAAACGAAAAGAATTTGTAGTTGAAGTGCCACCCTGTATGGTTGTATGCCATACCTTGTATACTTGTATACCACCCTGTATGCCACCCTGTACTGTGCTGCGAGTGAGCGTAGCGACCGAGCCGAAAATGGTTGGGGTCCACGGGCGAAGCCCTAACGGGGGTAGCAGGGGGCAGAGCCCCCTGAAGCTGGTGGATTTAGGGCTTTCTAAAGGCCCTAATGGGGCATTTTTAGCACCAGTTCATTCCACAATATAATCAATCATAATTTCATATTGATGTGACAAAATTAGTACAATTCCTGGGTACAATTACACTGGAGGTATATTTATATGTAGTGTTTTGTGTGCAATAAACATAGGAAATGTCAAAATAAAGTGAAAATCAAACCAAAAAAAAACAAGATGTTTCCAGAGATTGGCAATGTTAAAATTGGTATCCCGTCGTAAGCTAATTGTTGTTCAGACCTTAGGTTTAGATTCGTATAAAATGGTAAAAAACAATAAATTCCCCTTTCTTCATGTTTGTTTAGCAGGCATTTTGGGACCAAATTCGACTGCAACTTCTTGATTTAGCTGAGTATTTGATTCTAAAATATATATTTTCTTTCTTTCTGTTTTTTGTTTTGTTGTTGCAACAGTCGCGCGCCACTCCGACTGACCGCAAGCGCCACAAGTGGCGCGCGCGCCGCCAGTTGAGAAGGCCTGCTGTATAGTATATTAATTGATCTGAGTCTGCGCAGTGAGCTCATGACACAGTACAGGTGAAAATATGAAAGTGACGTACCCACTGTACCAGTTTGTGAAGATGGAGGCGCTTGATGTCGCTATGGACACAAATGTCAGAGAAGAGTGATTATTCAAGCTGAAATTTAAACGTAAGGCTTTTTTATATTCTGTTGAATTACATTTTGATTGATGGGTTAGACTGAGGCAGGGTAAGTAAAGGTTTGTATTGTGTATGAACATGTGAACGGTTGCAAAAAAGTGGAATTTGAGACTCGTCGCGCGGCCGGTAAATAAAATGAATGAATCATCATGGAGAGCGCAGCGCCGCGCTGTTGTCTTTGGACCGCCAACCACCCGGCAGTGCCGGGGTGTACGTGTGGACCTGAAGCTGATGGTAGTTGTGTGACCGTGCGTGGCCGCGGATCCTGAACTGAAGCTGAGCTGATCTGAGCTGAGTAAAGTTAAACCGGAGGTTGCCATTGGATTTTAAGGAAAATATGCATCATGTAGCCAAATTACCATAAATATTTGTCATTTAGTCTATACATTTGATTTGTAAGCGTACCATACCATTTAAAAACTTGGTTTAGACGTATCTATGTTATAAAAAAGAATGAGATATTAATTCTGAAAATCATCTCTTGTCTCTAGACTACTACAGGAGAAAATCTTCACAATTGAATATTCACAATTGAATGACACACGCCCTTAAAACTAAAACAACAACAACAACAACAACTTGACTCTATTCTAGATCTAGATCTAGTTTAGTCTCATGCTAGACAGAAAAATCTGTCTGCTGGAGGAATTTTGTTGTTGAATGTAAACCAAATGTAAAACTGCAGGTGGCATATAGACTATATCAATCATGGCCGTACCCCTGGCCACTAGCTGCACCAGACATGTCACGTCCACATATACAACGTCATTTCTGCGATATGCTCATGCGTCGGGTCGTCTCACGTCATCAGGCCAAATTTGAGAAAGCGTTCATCCACGATTTGAAGTTCGTCAGAAAACTCGTACCCCGTCGTCAAAATGACATCCTCTTGCCATATATCGCCACGTAAATCAGCAAGGAAAGACGGAAAGAGAAAGTGATGGAATTATAAAAACAAAAAATAACATAAGAGAAGGTGATAGAAGGAAGAAACAAAGAATAACATAAGGAAAGACAGAAAGAGAAAATGATAAAGAATAGATCATGGAAAGATAGAAGAGAAGATGAAAGATGGAAAAACAAAGAACTTAAGGAAGAAAATTGATACATGTAGAAGGTGATAGAAGGAAGAAACAAAGAATAACGTAAGGAAAGCCAGAAAGAGAAGGTGACATAAGGAAAAAGCAAAGAATAACATAAAAGAAGGTAAAAGAAGGAAGAAACAGAGAATAACAAAAGGAAAGACAGAAAGAAAAAATGATAAAGAACAGATAATGGAAAGATAGAAGAGAAGATAAAAGATGGAGAAACAAAGAAGAATATAAGGAATGGTAGGAATAAATGATAAGAACGATAAAAACAAAGAATTACATGAGAAAAGTTGATAGAAGGAAAAAGCAGAGAATAATTAAAACAAAGAATAAGGAAAGACAGAAAGAGAAACGATAAAGAATAGAAAATGAAAAGATAGAAGAGAAGATGGAAAAATGAGAATGACATATATGAAAAAAGGAAAGAGAAAATGATAGAAGGAAAACAAAGAATAACATGATGAAAGATTATAAAAATGATGGAATAATAGACGAAGAATAACATAAGAAGTGAAGGAGAAATTGAATAAACGCTTGCGGGGGCCATTACTTCATCGTGTACAGAGAACGGGCGTTGACTCAAAACGAAAAAGGTTATAAACTAGTGAACAGGACGGGTTGTCTGCAGCCAATTCGCATCATTAGAGGACAGGAATGGCGTCCTCGTCCCCACAAACGAAAAGGCCCTAATGCATTGGCATGTTTCCGTGCTAATGGCAAGACTGTCTTTGAAACTTTGGTATTTGAAATATTCAAACTATTCAAATACCTGTTTGCACAAATATTTGAACAGTAAATTAAGTATTTGTCCCAGGCCTAGTATTAGTAACCTTTAAGAAATTATGTTTTATGATCTTTTTGTATTCTTTAATGATCTGAACGTCTATACCGGGCCGTACTTGTAATTTGTATTTGTTGTTTATCTTCAGATGTACATCTAAAGAGACCAGGAATTGATCATCATCATCATGGGGTCAGGGAGTTCCAAGACCAAGAACGGAGCCCCTCCTCCTAAAGGCGAGGCCAAGAACATTGTGGTAGCGGAAGTGGTGGTCCCCAATAAGTCCGAGCCAGTCAGGATAACGGGGGAGCTGGATGAAGCCCCGCCGGCCAATGGGATCGGGGGACATGCGACGGTGAAGGAGGTCGGCCACAACAAATTTAGCTTGCAAGTGGGAGATAAGAGCATTGGAGTAAGTAAATTGAAGTGAAGATGGATGGTTAGGGTAGGAATCATTAAAGGGGAAGTCCACCCTGATATTAAGTTGATTCTAATAGCAGCAGAAAAATGAGAGAAACAGGTCATTAAAAAAAATTATTTAAAAAAAAAATGACCGCTGAGTATTCGCCTGTAAGGCTGGGAGTGTACTCGAGTACCTCATAACACGATTATGCACAGCCTTAAAACATGTAGTTATGAACTTTTAAAGTTGTCATCAGTGGCAGTGATCAGTGGCGTCACTGTGACATATTATGTGAGGTCCTCTCCAATTTTCTCTGTACAGAAAATTCATAAACTCTAATTTCTTAGTTATTGATGATTAAATAGTTTTGTTTCTTACAGGGGTTGTTTAGAAACATATTTGCAATGATTTTATTTAGGATGCATTTATGATTTAAAATTTTCATTAGTACAGAGCAAATGGGAGTGAACGTACTCACAGTGTTGCTAATTCGTGTTCAGATTTTGCTCAAACTTTCTCTATTAAACCTGTTCCTCTCATTTTCTACTTCTAATAAAACCATTATAATATCAGGTTTGACTTCCTCTTTAACAAATATTTACTAACTTTAGGATGACTATCATGATTGTCTAACTTATGCTGTCTCTTTGCGAAATATTAAGCTGCATGTATTTTGAGTTTTCTCCCTAATATGTTCAAACTATTATTTGTAGAATTAAACATTTAGTGTAAATTTTGTTTTGAATTTGTGAGAATCATATCATATCATTACTAATTAGTAACTCATCAACACTTTTAATCATTTAATATAACCTATACTTGGGTATTCGCACCTTTCCCTGAGATTTAGATATGAAAATTTGCTTTAAACGCTTTAAACTGAGGTTAAAGCTTTAGTTTGTGCCATGAAGGATAACAAGTTAAAAAAGCAATTAAATTGTAAATCTGTATAAATGACAGGTTGTTAGTCAGATTGCAATTTTTTTGACATGACAAATATGTCTTTAAGGAACGGATGATTCCCGCTAATAATACCTAGCAAATAGAAGTATGACATTTTCATCTACATGTACATGTGCAAACAGCTTGTCAACATAATGTTTGGATAGCACGGAGCAAACAGTACATGCAGGTACGATTATTGTATCATTATGAGATTATGAGATAAGAAACCAATTATGCTAATGAGCTAGTCTGAGTGTGGCCGCCTTTTTATGAGGTAATTTATGGATCCAATGGTTTAATGACAGGTCGTTTTAGTAGATACGTAGAAGTAGAAGGATTGTAATTGAGTATTAGATGTAAAAATCAATCATACTTATTGTTATTGTTTTTATGTTGATTTGCAATAATTTAAGGAATTAGGGCTGCAACGAGGCATTTCATGGACCACAGTGGGTTTGAAGGTCATGTTATCACAGACCTAGAAATAGAATAACTTGTGGTTACACGCTGACACAAGTAATGGAGCATCAAGATATAACAAAGAATCATCTTTTGATCATATTGTTTGATGCTGATTTGTAATAATTGAAGCAATTTTTCAAAGCTTATATTTTGATAATAGTATAGCAAAATGGAACCCTTTAATACAGAGCTAAAACATGTTTTGATCTTTGTACCTGTACCCTTTAATGAAGTGTTTTTTGGGGACCTTGTTTGTCTCAAAGGTCACCATAGTATAGACTTTGATATAATATGTAAAAGAACTTGTTAATACTTGTGATTAGTATCAAAAGGCCTGTCTTCATCAGCTCGAGTTTGCCAAATAACCCACTATTTTCAGACTCAGAATATTATCCAGAAGCTCGAAATCGCGTCTTCACTAGACCAATACGCTCATCACAAACTAGCTTGGAGGGGCGCAAATTAGCCCGCTATTTCCCAAATAGCAGGATATTTTGAAAACAAGACCAAGATTTCTTGGGATATTTTCTCGACCAAATATCTTGCTAATTGCAACTGCTGGCTGATGAAGACGCAAATTAACTGGTTAATGTGCTATCGGGATAGTTAACATAGCGGGTTATTCGGCAAACTCGAGCTGATGAAAACAGGCCTAAAGTGTGCGGATGAGTCATTTTTTCATTTTGTTAATTGATTTTCATTTGTGATTATAATGCTAATGGATACACAGCTAGTACATTTGGTGCATATTGTACACTGACTTCACATGTATATTGTGATTGTTAGGTCAGGTGAGATTATAATAGAGATCATTTATGAAATATTTTTTCTGCTAGCTTCTCTTTTTGACTATGCTATATATTACAATGTTTGCTAAGGAAATTAAAAACTGACATATTGTCCTGCTTACTGTTAACAGTTCTTTTTAATACCTTGTACATTTACATGCACATTTACATTTGTAGCTGGCAACCCTGTAACTGGGATTTGAGCCTTCTTCCTTGTAATACAACTTCTTCAATTATATTTATGTTCCTACATATAAATTGTATTGTTTGAACAGATGTCAAATATGTTGTGAAATTAAATGGAAGAAAATAAATGCTAATATGAATTTGAATAAGGACATTCAACTATGATTCAAGTCTGTTAATTAATCTTTCGATTTCTGTAGACATTTGAAGCATCCGACAGCGGGGAAGGAGGGGATTTCACATCCTACTTGGCGAACACCGCTACCCTGACCATCAAGAACATTGAGACGGTCGCAGAAGACGGAAACAAGATGGCTTCCAATTCCAACAACGATACGATGGTCATCCAGCTTGATGATTCTGTGAGTATATATTCAGAGATCTGTCTCTCATTGTCCTCCCAGTCCCATGTCTAGTTTTTGATGTTGGCTGTTTTCTTGTTATTTTTTTTAAAAATACATGCATATCTCTGTTATAAAATCCAAAGAACAAATTACCTTATAAGTAACCTGTCTTTGAAGTATGTCACAAATTAAATTTCTATTTTTTTAAATGTTGTCAGTGTTCCAAGTGCTTTAGGAAGATAACTAAACTGGAAAGAAATACAGAGTAGATTAATATTGCTATGAGAATATAATTTGTAGGTTACTAAAACCATTTTTGTTCAATGTGCCCAATGGACATACTGTAGGAATAGGATAGAACAAGAGAGACGACCTCTTTCTTTTGGGAAAATAAACCTGAATTGTTCCCAGAATTATTTTTCATGCCAAATTTAAAGCTGTGTATTCCTATCTGCTATAAGATATATATTATGCAATCCATGAGCTTCTTTGCCTTCTTAATATCATGGTAGCTAGCTCAACTTAAGCTGGAATGATAATTAATGTGATACTTTTTACAGCATTTTGGAGTATATTAGATGTGAGGTGTAAATGGCATTTTATAATATCATCATTTTTATCAAGCAATATTGATCTCAAGCACTTACAGTTAACAACTAAATTATTTATACCCCTTATAAATTTGATGTTATTTGTGTTTTTCATAACTTAAGAATGAAAGGTGGATTAGATGAATTAGGGCCTTTCTGTAAGCTTCAATAAGTCACCTTCGCAAGAAATCCAAATCGGGACAGATCAATTTTTCCCATAGTTAGAAATTAAAAAAACTTGGTAAAGGTATGAATAAAAATTTAGTTGTTGACCATATTTTTTTTTTTATTGCAAAATAATCAGTAGATGGTAATTTTAAACAGGCCTGATAATTAACCGATTTAAATCAGTTTTCTGACTTTTATTTTTTTTTCCCCAATTTTTTTTTTTTTTTTGTGGGGGGGGGGGGGGGTCAGAATTTTTTTCATCCAGATTTTACCCCTATTTTCCAGATTTTTCCTATTATTTCCTTCTTTTCCCCATTTTTACCTTCTTTTTTTACCTTTTTCCCCCAATTTTCTTACTTCTTAGTTGAGGAAAGTGCTCACTATCACCCCTGTTTTAAATCTACCGTATCTATAATTTTGTTGTATTGCATCCTCTTTCAGTCTAACAAAGACTACAATGATGAGGGGGAGTGGGAGGAGGTGATCCAGATCGTCAAGGAAACGCCCAAGAAGACGAAGAAGGGCGGTCGCCAGATAGATCTAAATGGGACCGACAGGAAAGCTCAGCTGGAGGAAGCCCTCCAGGACAAACAGTCTAATCTCTCAGAGCAGGAGTATGAGCAGATGATTGCCAACCATAGGTCAGTTAGAAATGATTTTAATGCAGAGACTTCTCTAAATTTAAGTGTGATGAAAGTAAATACATTAGTGTTGTGCTTAAAGGGATTGGGTATCTTTGTCTCAGATTCTAAACAAAATCCTAGATTTAGCTCATGCTGCAATCATAATTATAAACCGTTAGGTCAGTCAGGTACTCCATGACTTTAACAAGTTGATCGCCTATCAAGATATTTATGAATGGAAATCGATATCAAATTTTGTGTTTCCCAACGGTTTTTATAACACTACAGTCTATTGGAGAAAACAAGTATGGTAAAACTGGTCACTCAAAGATATTTACTGTCTTGAGGCACTCCGTGATCATTTTGAAGCGCCATTTTTTTAGGGCTTCAATATTACACCATATCACAGACACTGATAACACGTAGGGCCGTGCATCTCAGATTTAACATTGTTAAACGATGCCTTATAATGCAGTGGAAACTCTTTAACGACAACCTGCTAAGAAAGGCCACCAGTTTGTATAAACCAATTTTTTATTTTTCATTGAAAAACGTTTCTCATTGAAACCTGAACAAAAAGAATCCAATGCATGGAGACATCATTTTTTTGTCTCATTTGAGCAGTTTTTATTTACAGGTTTCACTTTACTACTGTTTACAAGCACTTCACATATGTAGTTATTATTATTATATTATTATCATTGTGGGCATTGTATTCCATTCTGCATATGCACTGTACCCTCTTCTCTCCTTTGGGAAACATTACAGTCAGTTGCCTTGTACAGGTGTGCACATGCTCTTCTTAATCAGATAACATTCACATCCTACCAGGAACCCTCTTATTCACCTGGATAGAGAGAAGCAATGCAGATTATACTGCCTTGATCATGGGCTAAATTGCTCTCCTGAGGATCTAACAATTAAAAAAGAGGATTTTTGTTTTCTTCACCATTTGACCATGACACATCTATCAAACAGTAAAATTCTGTAGAAAAAAAAAACAATCATTAATATTTTAACTTCATTACAGGCAAGAAGTGGAACTGATGACCCTCCTACGAGAGAAGGAGAAAGAACGGCAGAAGTTCTCTCTCGCATCCAAGGTGGCTGCCCGTAAGAAGAGGAGGAAAGGCAAGCAGACCGATGGAGATGGGGGAGGTGATGCAAATAATGTAAGTGTGGTAGTTTGACCTGACTTTGCATGTAAACAAGGTTTGTGGACAGTCATTATCTTAAAGGTAAAGACCAGTTATGGTCACGCGATTGCATTGTCAAAGAAACGTTGTGGAATCGATCAGAAAAGGTTGATCATCTAGCATCTAGCATCTGCAAGGTTCTGGAATCATCAAAATGATAAGAAATTTGGCCCATTCTTCGTAAAGTTACAAGCACTATACACAGAAAAATGTATATGGGACTACTCTATATCTCTCACAGTCCATGAGAGAAACAAATTTACCAAATATATGAATTAGTAGGCGGTTTCCCGGCAAATTTTTTATCATCATGTATTAGTCAAAACATATTCTTTCACATGATTGGTAATGAGAGCTTCCATTTCATTTTTTGAAATTGTGGCGTTTTCAATACTGGTCTTTACCTTTAAGCGTTTTTTTTTGTTATTTAAAGTTTTACCCCACAGTAGGGCGTTCTATTGAATAATGGAGTATACACTTGTCTTTATAACAACAGCTATTGAGGGATAATAACATTGAGAATGACTGGATGCAACATGGAACATGTAATAATATGACATATACTGTGTATGCATCACTGACAGTAAAAACTAATATCATTAAAAGATTGAAAGAGGACCACAGGTAAGATGCCAAAACTGTACATCACAGTGCCAGCCAGCACCACCGACCACACCCCAAAACCCAACAAGCCAGAGCAATATATCCGGTCCAGTAACCCCATTGTTCTGGCTCGGTAACTCCACTGCTCTCGCCCGTCGAGCGCAAGAGTGAATGCCAATGAATGCCGACCGCCACCGTATAACATTAATTGATTAAACATATTATAATAATAGTTCAATTAATATAGTGCAGCTACTATATGAATATACTCTACTGCGCTTAATACAAGGTATATTATTACCCCGGCTGTAGCTGAGCTGCCATGATAAGGCGCTAAAGCATTTCAAGGAATTAAATTTCTGCCAGGTACCCATTTACATGTACATCAACTGGGTTGATTGTGGCAAATGTAGATCAATGTCTTGCCAAAGGACATTAGTGCCACGGCAGGACTCGAACCGCGGACCTTGTGATCAACAGTCCTGTGACGTATCCACTTGACCACGATACCTCTTATCCGCATTAATCAAAAAGACCAATGAAACCTGACCAACATCTTTCAAATGAATCTTGCTTCATATTTTCACAAAAGATTTTAAAAAGAGGAAATTTGTAAGAAAATTGACTTATTAATGACATGATGGACTCTCATGAAGATTACAGCAGCACCACTGGTAAAGCTAATCCCTAGTATTGAGTATTATCATTGAAAATGTATCCTCATCTCACTCCTAGCTCAACCTTCAAAGCAAAGTTCGTTACCAGGAGCTCAAGGAACAGATCGCCCAGCAGAAGGCTGAACTGGAGCTTGCCCTATATAGCAACAGAATGGGATAGTGATGGACATTGTCATATAGCATTCCATAGAACAAATTATTTTTCTATGTCTTTCTCTTTCCTCCAGCTTTATCTTCAAAGCACAGATCATTACCGGAAGGGCGTTTCACAAAGCCTTTTTTCAATGACAAATGACAAAAATCAGTGACAAATCTGCTGATAACCAATCAGAAGCAAGGATTTCACTAGCTTATAACAAAAACTGTCACTTGTCACTGATGACAAGTTTTGTGAAACGCCCCCCCCCCCCCTAGAGTTCCAGGAGCAGAAGGCCCAGATGTAGCTCACTCTTGATCAACTCAAGGAGATATCAATGAATATTTTTACATATCTTTCCATACATGTATATCAAAGGCAGATTATATCTTCTTATTTCTCTTATATGAAGTTGGATCTTCAAAGTACAGCTCGTTACTAGGAACTGCAAGAGCAGATTGCCCAGGCGGAGGCCAGATGGAGGCCCAGATGGAGCTAACTTTGGATCAACACAAGGAGATGTCGATGAACATTGTTTTGTATCATGCCATATTTCAAGTTTTCATCTTTCTCTTATATGTAGTTGGATCTTCAAAGCACAGCTCGTTACCAGGAGCTGCAGGAGCAGATCGCCCAACAGAAGGCCCAGATGGAGCTCGCCATCGAGCAGCAGAAGGGGATGGCAATGGGCCAGGAGTCGGACCAGATCCTGGAGGCTCACAACAAGAAGATGGCCGAGCTGGAGGCGGAGCTGAAGCGGGAGCAGGAGAAGAGGAGTGAGGTCTTGAACTCAAAGCTAGCGGAGAGGAAGAGAAGGAGGAAAGCAAGGAAGGCCGAGAAGGAAGCACAGATGAGGCTGAAGGCAGAGGTGAGAGGTTATTCTTTTAACTCCTCCAAGTTTTTGACAACCCAAGACAAATGTCTTTGAGCTCATTCTTCTAATTGTCTTCTGAAGCGCTTCAATGAAGAGAAACACCACTTCTCAGACTGTCTTCTATTTGACACTACAGTATTTTGAGTACTTAATTCATTGTTCAATTGATGTTGTAAATGCAGAAATAAAATCAAACAAACAAATAACAAAACAAAAGTATTTTAGTGTATTTGTATTAAATAACAGCTTCCCTTGAATTGCTAAATGCTGTCTTTATATATATTATATATATATATAGGTGATGAAAATTCTTACAAATTCTCTGTGTAAGAATATGAATATACTTGTAATCCATTATCACAAACAACACCCTTCATGCTACCTTAGAATTGCATGTAAAATGGTATCAGAAATTGTGACATATCTTTCTGTATCAACTCTCTCAAAATTTCTAGTCACGTACTTATATTTCTCCAATTTAAAATTCAAAATCTCCTCCCCACATTCTCACATTATTCTACATTGATAACTTTTTTGAGGGGCTATCTAGCGATAATATGAGGTGTTTTATAGGATATACATGTAAGAAAGAGAATCTGCGAGCTGTTCCTTCAATCGATCTTACCCCTTCTGTTTCCATATAGACAAAGGTCCAGCAAGATACGAAAGATGCAGAAGAGGCAGCTACTGCTGAGAAGATCCAGGCAGACATCGAGGCCAAGAAAGCTGCTTTCCAGAGGGAGGTAGAGAGCAAGAAGGCACAGCTTTCAGCAGATGAATACAAACGCCTGCTAGCCAAGCACGATGAGGAGATAGCGGAGTTGACGAGGAAAGCGAATGTCCAGCAGTTGAGGCAGGGCCAGAACTTGCAGGATAAGCTGGACGCTCGAAGGAGGAGAAGGGACGGTGTCAACAGTGAGAAGGTTAATACTCTTTGATTTCTCAAATCACATAATAATAATAATAATAATAATAGTTTGTTCCTGGGGAGCATTCCAGCCAGGCGTCATTTTTACAAGCGCACACTTGCTAATCTTGCTTTCGCATCCTACCGGGTACCCATTTAACACCTGGGTGGAGAGTGGCAAATGTAGATCAATGTCTTGCCAAAGGACATTAGTGCGACGGCTGGACTTCAATTTTATTTCCCGTGCAAAAGATGGCTTACCAGATGTATACTGTCAAACCAGAAACTCTTGTAACATGGCACTATTTTCAAATTTTAAACGAAGACTGTTTTTGGAGAAAGAAACTGTTGCGAATCGCAAAAGTTCATTGTATTGTAATTTGTAATTCAAATTTGTAATTCTGAACCACTAGCGAAGTTTCAAAAAAGTTCCATGCAAATGAAATTTTCTGGTTATACAATATTTAGGGACACTGATTTCCGTTTTAAAAAATGGCTTTTTCTGTTTCAGAAAATCTGGAATTCCATAAATTTTATTTTGCCACTGATAACCACTCAAAAACATACGGACGGGACTGGATAAACTTGATGCAAAATACTAGTGAAAATATACGAAAAATTATCAAATGTTTAGATTTACCAACTTCAAATTCGAACTTAGACAAGCAGACTAAAGTTAGCGGAATGTGTCAAAACAAGACATATTCCTGACGGAACGATACAGATACAGATACAGGCTGAGTAGTACCGACGTCGACAAAAGTATTTCAGTCTTGGCTGTCATGTCAGCGATCAATCAATTTTAGGCGCACATGCCAGCCCCTTTTTCGAACTGTACAACAGCGTGTGTACAATCTCGCCGCACTTAGCACCTGCTGCTGGCGTGTGTGTGCCTAGTATTACATCTACGTAATACTAGGCGCCTAGCTGGCATCGATTCAGATCGATTCGCTGCTATTTGTACCATGTTTTGTGTCACAATCTCTATTGGTCCAGTGAAACAAAATGGCAGCGCCCTGTCTCCTAAGAATCTGACAAATATCGCTAAATATTTGGAGTTATTAACCATGATTTTAGGCCTGATATATTTTCACTGCATAACAAATCACAAAAATAGTGTAAGTTTTACGATTTTCTTCTTGAAAAATGAAAAGTTTTGAGGTGAAAGGGGTTTTCCGCAACTTTCCATTCGAAATTGCATGCCGTCCGTTTTCCGTGATCGCGGAAAATCAGTGTCCCTAAATATTCATGATCTCAGAGTCATGAAATCGATAGGTTTTAATCTGATGCTTTGATCAATAATTTCTGAAAAAAAAACTTGTAGTACTCTACTAAATTTTGTGCGTATCAATAATCATTCATGTATTAGCCAGAGCCGCCAATTAAAACAGATTTCCCGTAATTGGTACAGAAATTAACGATCATTACGGCATTTCGGAATGTTGTCTAAAATTACAGATTTCTTGTTGGGTTTTTTTTCTCTCTTAATTGAAGCCAATTTTTCATGGAAATCTAATGTGTTGTGATGACCTGAAAATCAATATTTAGCAATTGATTCATTCCCCAAATTACTGATTTTGAGCCTTGTGATTACTGATTTCCTGTTCCTGAGGTTGGCAGCTCTGATTTACATGTATAATCCATGCCATTTACTATTTCAAAGGCGATAACTGCTGCTGAGCTACAGAGGATGGAGGCTGAGCTGAAGCAGTGCCAAGTCCAGTTCGAGGCCGAGATGAAAGAGAAGAGAAGCACTGTGTCCAAAGAGGAGTACAAGCGTCTCATCGCTGCGCACAAGCAGGAGCTGGCAGACATGCAGACGAAGTTGGACGTGTCGAGGGAGCGCCAGCAGGAGGCATTGCTGGAGAAACTCGCTGCGAGGAGAGCTAAGCGATCCAATAAGAAAGAGGAACAGGTAGGATGATGGAGACTTGTGATGATGGTGGTGGTGGTGGTGGTGGTGGTGGTGGGGTGGTGGTGGTGGTGGTGGTGGTGGTGGTGGTGGTGGTGGTGGTGGTGGTGGTGGTGGTGGTGGTGGTGGTGGTGGTGGTGGAGGAAGTGGTGGTGGTGGTGATGGTGATGATGGTGATGATGATGATGATGAAAGTGAAAGTGGTGGTGGTGGTGATGATAGTCATGATGATGGTGATGATGATGATGATGATGATGATGATGATGGTCATGATGATGATGATGATGGTGATGGTGATGGTGATGGTGATGGTGATGGTGATGGTGATGGTGATGGTGATGGTGATGGCGATGGTGATGGTGGTAATAGTGTGTGGTGATGATGATGATGGTGGTGGTGTTGATAACTTTTACGATGATGGTGGAGGTGGTAGTGATGGGAGTGGTGGTGGTGGTGATGGTGGTGGTCGTAACAAGTTTACTGGTGATGAGTATAGAGATGGTGGTGATGATGACAAAGATGATGGTGGTGGTGGTAATGATGAAGTTGGTTGCAATAGTGTTTATGATGATGATGAGGAGGAGGACATTTATGGTAATGGTGTTTATGATGAGGATGATGATGATAATGATGATGATGATGTGATGTTTAGAGTGAAAATATATTATTGATGATTTTGAGGAATGAGGATGATGAAGAGGATGCTAAGGAGCATAATGGTGGTGGTAATATTGATGTTGATGATGATGAAGATGATAATGATGATAATGATTATCATGATGATTTCACAAAAGTAATATATATATTAGCCAATAATTCTTTTAATAATCAAATATCACCCCTCCCCCTATAGGAACTGATTGCTAAGCTAGAGGCCCAAACCGTTGCCATGACGAACCCTGATGCGGTTACCAAGGACCCCATTCTCCAAGATACCATGAGTGCAGATGAAATCAAGGAATTACAACTTGCCATCAGCAAGAAAGACATGAACTTCAGGAAGAAACTGAAAGAGATCAAAGGTACAATCTTTGATTGTAATGTGATGGCAATTGCTGTTTATGCAGCAGATAATGATCTATATAAAGTACATCATGCAGTGTATGTTGTTGTACAGTGTATAAGGTGGAGCACTACTTGAAAGTTTGCCAGAAGCTTGCTTGCCATTGCAACAAGTGATTTGTCCACAGTGGAATGCACACATGCAAATAATATGATACATTACAAATTAATTCATTATTTTATCTCCAGGGGTTCTTGGAAGAAATATCTGACATTTGCCCCTGTCTTTATGTTTCCACAGGGTTATAGAAACTTGGGTAGCAATTGGGTTCAAGTTTATGTTTCGGTTCAAATTTTGGATTAGACAAAGTTTTGGTCTAGAGTTGAAGCTATGATTCAGATAATGTTAGAAATTGACCCTGGAGCAGTATTGAACATTTTTTATCATAGTAAGCTTATCCATTCCCTTGATATTCAGTGTTAAAGATAAGACCGGTAGTGGTAAAATTGTGGTTCAAGGGTTTTGGGTGCAAAATATCCATTCAATATTGTTTAAATATGGCCTTCAGAGGTTTAGATGGCAATACTTCAACCTAAATTCGCAAAAAAAAAAATATAAGCCCACATGTTCAATGTTGAAGTGCATTCGCGATATCTATCCAGGTCGGATCGATATGATAATTTACTAAATATATCAATTAGTAGGCGGTTTCCAGGCAAAATTTGTATCATCACGTATTAGTCAAAACATAATTTTTCACATGATTGGTAATAAGAGCTTCCATTTCATTTTTTGAGAGGGGGGCGTTTCCAAAACTGGTCTATACCTTTAAACTTGAGCGGCGATACCCAGAGATTCATCGACCCTCATCGGATGGAGATGGATATCTGCCATGATTACTCCAGATATGATTTAAATAGAGTTCCTTCATCCAATTCAGGTAAACTATATTAAAATCTAATGCTGTTCTATGCCACTATCCTTGATATTATAGCTTCAAAGACGAACGCCGATGCCCAGAAGTTCATTGACCAGCATCGGGTGGAGATGGATTTGATGCAGTCACAGCTTGACCTTGAGAAGGCCAGGATGAAGGCTGTCCTCATGGCCAAGCTAGAGGCCCGGAGAAAGAAGGTATGATGCGATTGGTAATCGGTACTAAACACTAATCTGGAACTAAACATTTAACAGTCCAAAGAACTATGTCTACTCTTGGAGAAAAGGCGTTTATTTCTGCAGCACCATCTCTTTGGAATGCTCTTCCACTGAGGATCCGATCTCTAGAATCCCTAGAAACATTTAAAAAGAATCTACAACTCCAATTTCTCAATCTTATACTTAATCTAATGGATCCAATCTTCTCTTTACATCTACTGTTTTTCAAATTAAGGGAGGAGCTAGTGTTGACGAGACCGACCCACCAATGTCCGCCGAGGAGATCAAACAACTCCAGGTGATCCTGGACCAGAAGTCCCAGGACTTCAAGAGCCGACAGAAGTCGGCCAAGAAGGAGATGTCTGCCGCGGACCTCTTCAAGTACATGGACGGTCACCAGCGAGAGATGGAGAGCCTGGAAAAGAGGTTGGCGTTGGAGCGGCTCCGTATGGAACAGAATCTCAAGGACAAGATGGCCGCCAGACGCTTCAGGAGACCAGGATCTGCAGCTTCTGTTGAGGTACAGTTAAACTGTGAGAGTGGCTTAAATCACTGAAGAGGTTCCATCTGATTGTTGATGTAACATGAAAAAAAAAATCTTTTGCACAATCCGTAGAAAAACCAAGTTTTGTAATTTTTAGAGTATGTTAGAGTTGATTTGTCCTGATTTATATTTCTTGAGAAGGTGACATCCAAAAGTATTCAACAAAGGCCATAATTCAACCAGTCCACCTTTTATTCTTGAGTTACGAAACCTACAAAAAAAATTCAATACACCTTTTCAAGGTTACAAGAATTCGCATGCGCTGACATCGGTGCCATTTTAAATTTCGAGTAAACAAAGTTGTTTACTCGTAATTTAGCATGGCGCCCAAGTCAATATGAAGTGAGCGCACAGCGCAGGCAGTGAAGCAGCATACATGCGCATCTGAAAACATTGATGATGCAATATTCTCACAAATTAAAATGGTGGCCTGAACTTTGAAAGGGTGTATTTACAAGGGGTATGAATAATTCAAAGTATTTTACATTTTTATCTGCACACACAGAGCCAGGACAAATCCGAAGACGCCGAGATCCTACAGAAAGAGATGTTGACGAAAGAATCCACTTTCCTGGCCGAGGTAGAGTCCAAGAAATCCAAGATGTCCAAGGAGGAGTATGAGCGTCTCCTCAGCCAGCACCGGAGGGAGATGGAGGAGCTGCAAAGGAGGATGGACCGGGCCAAGGGAAGACAGGCAATGCACTTCCAAGATAAGCTGGATGAGAGGAGGAGACGCAGGCAGATGTGGAAGAATGAGGAGGAGGAGAGGATGAGGCTCATGAAGTTATTGGTATTTAGTATTTATTTTCCTTTTTTTTCCTTCAATATCTTTTTTGTTAAATTTATTGGTATATAATGTTCGACAATCAGCACAAAGCTGGAAGGGTAAATTTTTCAAAAGTACAGTGATGTGTACAATAGTATTACAAAGCATATTAAGTAAATCAGTAACATAATGACAATACAAAACTCCAAGTAAATATAACCAATGATTTGAAATACAAAGAAAACCATAGACATTCTTGATAACCGTTTTGAGTGATTTAACCAGACATTGGTCAAGTATACATAAGCATGAAAGGTTGAATTGATTAGATTTTGGATATTAAAAATGATTGTAGAGGTCACATGGTCATAAAAGTGTTGTTTTTTTAATCCTAGAAAATTCATTACCACGATAACTTGAAAACCATGTGTAGGAGTTTTTAAACCAAACTTTGTTATTTTATATTCAATCTTGAAATGATGAACTAAATAGATTTCAGGTTTCAGGAGTCAAAGACCGAAGGTGGCGGCTACATGTATAAAAGTGAAAAATATTTATTAGAAAGTATTTTGAAAGCAATTATAGCCCCACTGCAATACTTGTTGCTTCTTGCGCCCTCTATATATCCAACAATGTCTAATAGGTGACCATTGGTCCCCTGCGATCCTCTTTTTCTTATGTTAATTGAGAGCTGATTTGATGAGATAACCACCTGTCAGTGACCATGCAAGCCAGGAAGTCTAATCCCTACTGGCAAAAATATGATTACTGATCAAAATATGTCCCAATTATATCTGAATAGATCTGGGATTCATGAGGTCACCTGTCAAAGGTCACAAGGTCATATATGAATCGGATATAGTTGGAGGTGGATCGACGATGTAGTCACGTTCTAGTTCTTGTCTATATCTCACAATTTTTAGAATGATAAATCTGAGTCGCTCAGCAAGGATGAGTTCAACGACATCACAGAGGACATCTTGAACTATGATGAGGCGGTCCAGTCTGAAATCCAGGAGAAAAAAGGCAAGGTCTCGGACAAGGAATACCAGAAGATGTTGGACGACCACAAGAGGAACATGAGCACATTGGAACAGACTTTGATAGAGAAGGTGAGAAGGTCCCCGACATCTTTCCAAATTTTAAGGGCAGTCCAACCCTTGTAATAAGGTCATTTGTATGAAAGCAGAATGGCAAAAGTTTGAAATATATCAGACCAATAATACGACAGTTATGGATGTTTTAGATATGAGATTACTAATTCTATGTGAATCTCAAATTGGGAGATGCTCAGTGGATTGTGACATAGTCAGGGATAACACTCGTGTACAGAAATATCATTAATTTCTGTTTTTTCTCTAAGTGCCTTCTCCCTTGTGGCATTACTCAAATATTATGGATAGCATACTATTATAGGTCCTCGGAAGAGAGAAGTAATAAATGCATTCTATGCAATGCTATTGTGTTCTTATTCTCTTAAAGGGATTGGGTATCTTTGCCCCAGATTCTAAACAAAATCCTGGATTTAGCTCATGCTGCAATCATAATTATAAACCTTTCGGTCAGGCAGGAATCCCATGACTTTTACAAGCCGATCGCCTGTCTGATCATCAAGATATCATTGGAAATTGAAATTTCAAAAACCATTTTCCTAACGGTTTTTATAACACTACAGTCTATTGGGAAAAATAAGTATGGTAAAAGCGGTCACTCAAAGGTTTTTACTTTTTTGAGGCACTTCATGATCATTTTGAAGCGCAATTTTTTAGGGTTTCAATATAACACCATATCACTGATAACACGTAGGGCCATTCATCTTAGATTTAACATTGTTAAACGATGCCTTTAATTCAGGGCAAAGGTAAAAACGAGGAAATCACCAGCATCGAAGATGAGATGAAGCACCAGGAGGCCATCTTCTTCACCAAGGTGGAGCAGCAGAAGTCGACGACGCCCAAGGAGGAGTACGAGCGTCTCCTGAAGCAACACCGGGAGGAGATGGAGGACCTGAAGAAGAGGCTTGGATGGGCCAAAGGAAGACAGGGCAGGCATCTCCAGGATAAGCTGGAGGCGAGGAGGAGGAGGAGGAAGATGCTCGGAAACGAAGAGGAGGAGAGGAAGAGGCTGATGGAACAGTTGGTGAGCAGATGAAGTTTTATTTAGTTAAATATAGAGGGCAGCACACGGATTTACGCACGGCAGCGTAATACCCATTGGCTCAGTGTTATGTAGTGATTGCCAAGTTGCCTACTTCACGATCGACTATATACCCATGCATGAACATCTTTAAGAGATGGGTTGAGAGTAAGTCTCCATCATGAAATTACAAAAACTTGGATGCAAATTTAGGAAATTGATGAAATGGTTGCTTCAGAGATCTTTGAAGCTAGTTATAATGATTAGATGATGATGAGGAGGATGACAATGTTGATAGTGGCAGTGGTAGTGGTGGTGGTGTTGATGATGATGTTGATAAGGAGGTGATGATTATGATGATGATGATGATGATGATGATGATGATGATGATGATGATGACGAATGATGTTATATTAATCATCATTCATTATCATGGCATTGATGAAGACGAAGAGGATACATATTTAATTCTTGATTATTTGAAACAAAACAAATATGGACGAGTGAAAAGAGACATAAACAAGCCATTATTGACTCTCTTCCTCTTATGCTTCTCTTCTCTGCACCCATCTAGGCCAAAGTTGATCGTCTAAGTGGAGAAGAGTTAGAGGAACTTGAAGATGCCATCGATTTCTACGACATCTCCGTGTCAGCTGTCATAGAAGCCAAAAAAGGACAGGTCTCGGTTGAAGAGTATAACAAGATGAAGGAGGAACACAAAAAGAATATGGCACTGATGAACACCAGTCTTGATGAAAAGGTAATTTTGTGACAATATCATGCTACATAACATTAAAGGTTAATACAAAGTTCTGGTGTGGGTTCATGAATTTGGTTCAAATGACATATTGGAAGTATATGTGATCCTACAATATTCAATGCTCGTTGTCGCGGTTGAAATCGAGTCTAAAGTGATGAAATTGTGGATAATAAACTCTTTATGTTGTATAGCTCTTTCTCATGATTGATATTACTTTATTTTCAAAACAATGTTTCTTGACTAAAATCAACCTATTTTCTATTCCCGTTTGGAAATCATATATCAGAACTGCATATTCCAAGATTTCCATGGTCGTAGCTACCATTTTATATTTTAATTTCTTGAAATCCTTAGCATTTCAGAGCCAAATTTTGTCAAAGTTGCTTATTCTAACACTAGGTTTCACAATGGTAATGCAAATTTTAAATTTCATAATCCATTCCTGTTGATTATCAAAACTTTGCGTTACCTTTAATTTAAAAAAAAAGGTAACTGGCCCAGTGTAGTAATGAAACTTTTAAAGTAACATTTGTTCATGTTTGTTTGTTTACCTGACTGCTAAAAAAAAGCTTGTGTATGTCTGTAAGTAAGCAATCAGGAGACCAACAGCTTCAAGTCCTCTCCAAGGGACTCGGTAATGAAGATTAATGCTTCACCAAAGGACACTATCACATCGACTTGGTTTCGAACCCGGGTCACCGGATTTCGAGACCACTGAGCCATCTCGCCCGTTGTATCTTTACATTTGCCAGCCAAATGTAGCATTTATCCATGCTCTATATCTTCATTGGCGGAAATTTTAAGATCAATCCTAAGTAGTATAAGTAATACAATAAATAGTTGGGGCAAGAATTAGATGTTTTAATTTTAAATTTTCTTAATATGGGCTAAATGTGGTAACCAAGTGGGTCAGATTTGAGAAATCACACGTTTTGTGTTGAATTTTCTGTGGCTCTTAAACCTTCACTTGTACTGCTGTGCTATTCTTCATATGCTTCAATTATGCAAAATTTACTAACTTAATTGATTTGATTTTTCCCCCTAACAATTTCTACCTCCTGTATTATTGTTTTTTCTTCTACAGAGATTGCAGACAGATATCAGAAACACAGAACATGCTATTACCAAGGTCAAAGGTCAAGCAGTGCATGTTGCTGTGATCGTTGACGAGGGATCTGATGAGGACATCGATGATGAAGACATGGTAAAAAACAAAAAAATTATTTACTTTTGGGCAATTCCACGGTAACGGAAGGACACTCAGACAAGATTTTTGAACTTCAGGTTCATACTAAAAGAAATGTTTTATAGTATGTATTAAACTATGGGGAACAAAATGTGTTTCAGTCAATTGGGAAGCTTCATCACCTTCACAAAGTTTGGATAAACACTAATTAACTGGAAAAACCATGTCCATTTTTATGTCCTTCCGTTACCGAGATAATTAATATGCACATTCTTAAACTACTTAACTATAATGACAATTTTTTGTGTGAAAATTAAAGGCACTTATATAGGTATTATATCTGTACTGTTTCACATCTTATACTAATAAAACAGTTCTTTTAGTATGAACCTGAAGTTCAAAAATCTTGTCTGAGTGTCCTTCCGTTACCGTGGAATTGCCCTTTTGTAGGCAGTTTATTTGTGTGTGTCATATAATACAAAGTCTAGTACAGTCAAACCTGTCTATAGTGACCGCCCAAGGGAAACACAAAAAGTGGTCTTTGTAGACAGGTTCCTGTAGTACATGTTTCAATGAGAAACCATTTTCAAGGGAAACCAAAATGTGGTCCTTGTAGACAGGTGGTCTTTGTAGGCAGGTGGTCACTAAACCAGGTTTGACTGTTGATTGAGATGATACAGTAACATTGAAAGTACAGTCAAACCTGGTTTAGTGACCACCTGTCTACAAAGACCTCATTTTTGGTTTCCCTTGAAAATGGTTTCTCATTGAAACATGTACTATATGAACCTGTCTGAGAAGTCCACCTGCCTTTAACGACCACTTTTCTTGTCTCCCTTGGGTGGCCTTTATAGACAGGTTTCACTGTACATGTATCACTGCACTGAATCTGTAGTCTGATCTGAGATCATTTAGCATGGCTAACAGTTTAATTCAATCATCCATGTATTAACATCCTTTAAAGGCCCTCTGCACTACTTGTAGCTACTTGTGCCCTCTATATAATAAACAATGCCTAATCGGTGACCATTGGTCCCCCATGATCCTCTTTTTCTTATGTTAACTGAGAGCTGAGTTGATGAGATAACCACCTGTCCAGTGACCTTGTAGGGCGGGCTAATCCCTCCTGTAAACTATGGCAGATAAGCTTTAAGTTTGTATTGTTTGAATTGGTGACATACAGTAGGGGACAAAATTATTTTGACTTGCCATTTAGATTTATGATGCAAGTGTATCTAATATTTCATTTTACTCTCAATATTCAGTGCAAGTTGAATTTCATGTGAACCTTCCCCATGCCTTTGACTCTAAATTACTTTTTCCACCCAACTATTTGTATGTTTAAACAAAGAATAGCCATCTGAATGTTACACCTTGAGACAAAAAAGTTTTCAATGTCATTGTTTTAATAATGAAGACGGCCATTTGCTACAATATGCGGTATATCCGGTATCCGTCGTAGTTGAATAAATAACAAGTCTACCATAACAAATCAGTCTGCTGACTCTATATGTGACCCGGCACCACAAAACCAACAAAAAGTCGCAACCAGCGATTCTCCGTAATCAGCTAAAATGTCAAGTTAGGTGAAAAAAATAGATTTTTGTTTTTTTGCATTTTCTGAAAGAGTGGTCTTTTCTGTACCTAGTATCAAAATTTGGAAGTCTAAAACATAGTAGAAGATGTGTTTTAAACGGTTTTTCTAGACCAGTTTTTTTCGCACAGCCTTCGGTCTCTTCCAAAATTTGATCACTTTTCCCGAGCGAAATTATCGTAGTCCGGAAATGGTCGGTCGTTGCTAACGGGTCGAGCTACGCGGGCTGTGATTGGTCCGTTATAGCAATCAGTGCGGCGCGCCATTTTGTTTGTATCCGCTTTCACATCCGAGTTCCAGATTTGCGTTCGTCTTATATTCTCCGTTAACGACTTCGAGTAGTTTTGAAATCAAGTTCTTATTGTAAACACACATTCACACTCTTGATATCATCATTTTGCTTACAGCTATCATAATTCTCCCCCTTCTTTTCCCTCTCTGTCTCTCTCTCTCATTCTTTCTAATTTTCGTTATTCTATGTTGGTGTCTTTACTGTGTGTCTCCTGCCTTTCTTTATTTTTATACCACTTTCTGGCTGGTATTTATGAATTGCTTCCATTAATTATCATCAGGATGGCTACTGGAAATGAAAGAGCAAGTCATAGTAAAAATACTTTGAACCTCCTGTGAGAAAGAAAACAGTATGGGAATTAAGTATAAAGCAAGTTCATAATGTGGTTACAAATAATTGCCCAGATGTATACAAAACAAGATAGGTGACAAGCAGTGTTATGTAAGGGGGAACAAAAAGACTCCGGGTCCACCATGAATAGGCATTGTCTAGTGCAGGTGTCTCGGCACTATGTTGCAGTTCACTTAATCTTTCCAATTACAACTCTATACATTTACAACATAATAACTTTTGAAAGACTTAATTCCACACATTGAAACCTCAGAAACATAATGAACAGACTATGTTTGACCATCAGGCCAAATTTCAGCCTAATCTGAAAATCTCGTCATAGTGGTTGCTAAGGCCTTTTGATTCACCCTTCTATTGATTTCCCTGTGGTTTGCTTGCTCCGCATGCTTGAATAGCCCCAAACTTTAAAGCTCTCTTTCTCACAATTTAATACCAGTAACCTCCCTCACCAGCTCTTTTCATTCACTAAATTGAAAGGGTTAGAAAGCTTCAATTTGGACAAGTAATATACCATTTTAATGAGGAGAACTTCTTCTTTCATAATCAGATGAAATCAGGAAAATAATTTTTTGCAACTTTTTGGTGGTTTTGTGGTGCCGGGTCACATATTATCCTGAGTTACATGTATCTACCATTACCAAGACCCTCGAACTCATCACCATTCAACTTAATGTGAATAGAAATGTCTGTAGTTGTGTCCTGTGTAGAAAACATTCTCATCAAAATAGGCAAAATTGTTTTTCTCAGACTCTTTCTTCTTCAATGGGAAGTGATGTTATTTACCAAACAGAGGTGAGAAAATTATCTCAAAAACAGATCAAGAACAGAATTGTTCCGCATCACTGCAAGCTTTCTACTCTTAACACATCAGTGGCCATCAGATCACATGAATACCTTTACATACCTCTATCTTCCAGTCATTAGGAGAATAAAATGTAGTTCATTTGTCATTTGCTGTTCATTTCATTATTATTCTAGTGCCAGTAGTCATTTACATGAACTGTACCAGTTTCAGATGAAATAATGATTACTGAGATTGTCTTTTTTCTCTGCTGCCATCCGGACAATTATAGTCTAATTACGATCAGGTGGCCCAATACAATTTAGGATGTTGATGGCACCACGGCAACTGCTAATTTGAGCTATACTTAGTAACCATTTCATGCAGCGGAACACAACAATGCCATTGTTTGTTGCATCTACCGTGCCACACCAGCTTTTGCTACATATTTCCTGACACTTTGAAGCCCTCAAAAACAAAAACAAAACATTTGCTGTATACATATGTACCAACTTGCAAATGTTGGAGTTTATCTAGGTACTGTATCTTATAATATACAGTAGACTTGCGGGTGCACCATGTGAGAGAGAGGGAGGATTGAGGAGTCCTGAAAAGGACTCTCAGTAATCTTTCTTGAGGGTGTGTAGTCCTGAAAAGGACTGTTGGTGTAGTCACATGGTGCACCTGCAAGCCTACTGTATATCTACATCACCATGCGAGCCGATACTTACAAGCAGTATCTTATAATGTTATGTCATTTTCTCTGAATAATTTTGTTTTCATTGACAAGGAGGATCCAATGGTATAGTACTTATTTATATGAATGTGTTGTTGGGAAAATGATGTGATGCCCTTCACCTTTAACACTGTTTATCATATTTTTGTATACAAATTTTCTTCAGCTTGTGCTTTAAACATTTTATATACATTCACAATTTTGCATGTGTAGTAAAACATGTGGAGAAAAAAAGAGCAACCATCCCAAAGTGTTTTTTAATGGATTGTTACTCCATTAAGTTTTTCCATACTTCAATTTTGCTTTACATTATTTTTGGATGGGTGAATGATTTGGAGTGTTGCCTTACTTTTAAAGAAAGAGATATAATTAAATATCATTCAAATATCATTCTGTTTATGATTTTCATTTCATCTTCGTCACGAACAGAAGCAAATCTAACAGAGATATACATTTTCACTTTTTAGTTTGTATGACATTAGTTATGCATGGATACATTATCTGCAGTTGCTAAAGAATGAAAATCCCAAGACCTATTAAATATTCAAAAGTCATCCAACTAGTTTTGTTCAAACACCACCCCCTCCTCATCCCCCCCCCCCACTCCCCACTCCCAGCACAAACCCAAGTATGCACCTTGGTACAAAGTAAAAATGTGCTCAAAATTTTGACTCCTACCATTCTATACCTTAGTTTTTGTTTGCTGATCACTATTTAATCTCTGGAATTGTTTTTTTTTTCTTCATTTGCTATCAAACAGATATATGTTCCATTATTTGAAGTGTGCACTTTTTCCTGTGAGTGAATATTGGCAAAAGGCATGCATTTTTTAATGTGCCCTGTGATTTATTTCAGAGTTTCACTTCTAAAGCAATTAGAATCAGATTCATAATGACAGGATGATTAGAAAGAAAAGAATTGAAGAGAGAAAATGGGATGAGACTTAAAGGGAGTCTCTCGTCAGTTTCCATGTGCAGAAGGCCATAATTCGCTGACACCAGACTTGGTGGATAATAAAAATCATTAACGTGTGTACAGGTATTATAGGCCTGCACACAGCGAACCCGTTGGCCAATCGAGAAGTACCCTCTCGTCTATCTAGAGTCTTCGGGTGTCGGAAAAGTGAGATAATGAATTTACCATGTGGGGGAATGGGTGGAAAACGCAGTACGTTACATAAGGCCTGGTGGTCATAAAACTGAAGGCTAATTCTGGTGATTGACAGCACCTCTTATTGGGTAAACACCCGAACGGTGTTGAATTCACCGTGAGAGCTAACTACCGAGTCCTTGCAACGGAGGGAACTTTTATAGGAAACTTTGTAGAGGAGAGATTGCATTAAACAAGCTGCATTATTCCATTTTGATGTCTGTTTTCTGTTACATTCCCTTGGAAACCAATTACCTTTGAATAACAGGTGGAATGGATAGGGCGCCATTTTCTATCAGATTCCTGTTGGTATCAAGCCCTTATTTCTGACTTTTAGAAACATCAACCTACTTTATAACCTTTGAACTCTCACAGGACGCTGACCTTGGGATGGATCCGAGTCAGCTGGCCGTCTTCACCTCCACCAACCTCTGGACGACGCCCACCCAGTCCAACGACGTCATCATCGTACCCCTCAAGGAGGAGTACCCCAGCAAACGCAAGCGGGAACTCTTCACTGACCCCTCCATCTTCCGCCAAATAGATGCCCATGGTTTAAAGGTAAAGACTGGTAGTGCACTGCAACACATTCACAGTTTCTTTACAATTGCGCGTAATAAAATTTAGGTTCAAATTTTTGTTTAAATTTATATTAACAAATTTTATCAGCAGTCTTATAGTTGCAGATGAAAGAAAAACAAAATGTAGCAATGTACAACAGCATGGCTCAGAGTTGTAGTCTTATAAACTTCAGGTGCTGGATTTGAAACCAAGTAATGCTATATAGTTTCCTTTAGACCGTTACCAAGTCCATCCAGCATACACCTACTTTCTTATTAGTCAAGTAAAACAAATCAAACCAAACTATTTATCAAAGAAATGAAATTCAAATGTGGGGAACCACAGAGGCCATTGACTGCCATGTATCTCAAAATAATATTGATGGCAGGAAGGATCTCAAATCATTGTAAAATTGCCAATTATGATGAAAAAAAGGTGATTTTGAACTTTTCAACAAATTGCTAGTTTAGGGCTTTTAACCCTTAAGGTAGAACTTAGATCTTGACCCCATCACTCTGTTCGTTAATTGCCCCTGTAGCTGGCCCAGACTGTGAGCCTCGTCTGCCAGCCGTCCTTCTCTGCTCTGGTCAACGAGCTGACCGAGTTTGGAACCACCGAGCTGCAGAAGGTGCGCCTGATCTCCCGCTGGCTGACCGCCCAGAACTGTGACGAGATGGACTTGAATGATGTCATCGACGACACCCCGCTGGGGGTCTTGAAAGGGCTCTACCATAAGAAGATCACCTTCTCAACGCTCTTCATGAGGATGTGCAGGTAATGGATCGATAACCAGTCCGGGCAGGAATCTGTCAATCTTAAATGGACCATTTTTGTAATTGTTTCTTTTTTCTTTGATTTCAAATGATTTTATTTCTCATGCAAAACATAATACAATGAATAAGTATATTACAAGAAAAGTACACAATGAAACAACAAATGTAATAGAAATAGCATGAGAAAAGAGGAAATAACTAGCTATTTTACAATATATCTTGAACAAAGTATACTTAGAAAATCAGTAAATTCAAACTGGCACCTCAATTTTTGTAAAAACTTAAACTGGTCTTTACCTTTAAGTGCTACACTTTTTCAACAGGCTGCCATGTTTCTCAAAAGAATATTGATGGACAGGAAGTATGTCAAATCATTGTAAAATTGCCAATCGTGATGAAAAAAGGTGACTTTTAACTTTTTGACAAATTTCTAATTTAGGGTTTTTTAACCTTTAGTTCTCCTGTAAGAATTCCTGGCATTTAACACCATACATGTTAGGTAACACAGTAATGGACAGCGTGCAATAATATTTACTCGGGCTGCACGTTTGTCATATTTGTAGGGCTCATATGTAATAAAAAACATTGATCCAAATCAGAAAATGTGAGCAACTGTTGTCATTGGACGATGTTGACTGCAGATCACGTTACTTTCAGAGTTGAAGGTGCTATAATCAAGTGATTTGAGAACTTGAGTGGGATGCACAGGTCTTGTGTTCAAGTCCAAATTGCATGAATGGAGTTCAGTGAAGAATTCATGCTTCATATGGGATTACCAGTAATATAGAGACATTTTAATCTCAGATCAATGCATGACATTAAATTATAAATGATCTGTTCTTTTCAATCCAGGTACATTGGACTTCAGTGTGTAGAGATATGTGGAATTGCAAAGGTCAAAGGTTACCGTGCCGGTCAGTTCATTTCACCCAAGGACCCAGAGGTCCAGCACACCTGGAACTCTGTCCGCATCGATGGATTCTGGCACTTTATCGACTGCAATTGGGGTGTGTCCCACATCGCAGGCTCCATGGCCTATGACCCCTTCCGCTTCGAGTACGACGAGCACTACTTCCTGGCCGACCCGGATGTGATCATCTTGAGTCATTTCCCAAATGACCCTGCATGGCAGCTGCTTGAATCGCCATTGTCTCTGGATGACTTCAATGTCCAGGTTCTTCTGAAGCCGGACTTCTTCCAGTTTGGTTTCAGTCTGAGGAGCCATAAGAATGTGATTATTGATGTTCCCAACGGAGATCTGAACGTCCAGATCCATTGTCCAGCAGGATTCATTCTCTCCTGTCGATTGTCCACCGTTGACGGTGACCGTGATGTAGCGGTCAGTGGTGTGCCCTTTGACCTTTACGAGTTCATCCATCAGGTCGGTGACGAGTTGATGGCATGCTATGTACGAATCCCGGAGGCGGGACAGTTCAACCTGACTATGTATGCCCGGAGGCAGTACCTGGACGGGGAGCTCAATATAGAAAGCTACACTGAAATCTGCCGGTATCTCGTTCGATGCCATGCCCCAAGCCGAGATAATGTGCCTCTCCCATATTCTCCAGCTGACCACTGGGGCCCCATCGGTACGATGAGTGCCGGACTGGTCCCTATTTCACACACATCAGGTGTGGTCGTGTCCAACGATGGCAGCGAGTTCAACATCCGCTTCAAGATGACGCAGCCATTGAGATTCACACACACCCTGACGAGCTACGGTGTGGACGATCGCCAGCTTGTGCCTTACACCATGCAGCGTGTCGTAGACGAAGAGCTCGTATTCACAGTGACGCCACCAAGGACGGAACGATATGCCCTTCACATATACGTCCACTACTCTGGTCTACCCAAGCCCTCTCACCTCTGCAGCTACTTACTCGTTGCGCATCAAGTGCGTCAGACTGTCCAACCAATGCCGAGGCCCGAAGGCGATGTCTGGGGCGCTACCTCGGCCTTCCAGTCGCTTGGACTCACTACTTTCACCAATGCCGATGCGCTCATCGTGACCAGGGATCCAGCGACAGAGATCATCATCGGCACTCAGGCTCGCATCTTAATGAGTCACGAGATGACCTGTAACGGAAGGGATATGACGCAGAGCGCTCAGCCGCAGTTTGGCGAAGGCTTCGTCACTTTCGTGCTGCAGCTACCTTACAGCGGATACTACTACTTTAAGCTGATGGGAAAAGACACAAATGATCCGTCCATTCCAAACTCTCTCCTTTTCAATTATCTCATCAGAAGAGACTAAGGCTTATAGTCATGAAGATAAGGGTTTGGTCACACCTCACCTATAATGATAACCGTAATCTTTATGCATGTACAGTCAAACCTGTCTATAGCGACCGCCCAAGGGAAACACAAAAAGTGGTCTTTGTGGACAGGTTCCTTTAGTACATGTTTCATTGAAAACCCTTTTTCAAGGGAAACAAGAAATGTGCTTATTGTAGACAGGTGGTCACTAAAGCAGGTTTGACTGTATATGTACCGATAAAGATTGATAAAAGAGGTCTGGCCTCAATGATTTTCTCAACAATAATATTATTGGTTCCTTCAATCAAATACTATGGACACTGCCTCCATTCTTTCTTCTGGCACTGATGCCACGTCGAAGAAGTACAATTATTGGATCACAGATATTATTGTCGAGGTCTGTCCTGATATAGAAAAATGGGGGTTGAGTGATTCCAAGGAGATAATGAAATTGTTGAGGGAGACTCTTAAAGGCATCGTTTAACAATGTTAAATCTAAGATGTAAGACCGCACATGTTATCAGTGTCAGTGATATGGTGTAATATCACAGCCCTAAAAAAATTGCGCTTCAAAATGATCAAGAAGTGCCTCAAAAAAGTAAAAATCTTTGAGTGACCGGCTTTACCATGAAAACCGTCAGGAAAACGCAAAATTTGATTTTGATTTCCTATCATAAATATCTTGATAATCAGACAGGCGATCGGTTTGTAAAAGTCATGGGGTTCCTGACTGACCTAAAGGTTTATAATTATGATTGCAGCATGAGCTAAATCCAGGATTTTGTTTCAGAATCTGAGGCAATGTTACCGAGACACTTAAAGCATAATTGCTGAGGTCTGATAACAACTACCAATTCTTTTCCACGTAATCCAAAGGAGAGAGTCGAGAATGATTTTGTTATAGTTATCATTCGCTGTTGGGCCTTACCAGGCCTTTAGCATGGTTTTGACAAGTTAATTCTATTCTGATACAACAAAAAATATGTTAATGTTTGATTTATTTTGATGTGTACATGTTAATTCTACTAAAAGTTTATATCATAGTTGTCTCTCATCTTGCAGCTGGTTTTGAAGAAAGTATTTTAATGATATATCGCAGTTTGTACAAAAGGAACACTTTTCTTTCATTGTATAACTGCAAAATTTACTATTCTCTGTAAATTTCTTGTACATAAATAGTTTAAACCTGCCTGTCATTGTGACTAATTTCTGTACATACAGGTATCATAAATAGAATGTGATATTAATAATGATTTAATATTATGGTGCGAGTGAAAACCGTTCAGTTTACCATTAAGGAATGGAGAGTATTCAAGTAAATTCAGTGTAAAACTGCCAGTTGCATGAGTATATATGAAGAGTATTCATGTGAATTCAGTGTAAAACTGCCAGTTGCATGAGTATATATGAAGAGTATTCATGTGAATTCAGTGTAAAACTGCCAGTTGCATGAGTATATATGAAGAGTATTCATGTGAATTCAGTGTAAAACTGCCAGTTGCATGAGTATATATGAAGAGTATTCATGTGAATTCAGTGTAAAACTGCCAGTTGCATGAGTATATATATGAAGAGTATTCATGTGAATTCAGTGTAAAACTGCCAGTTGCATGAGTATATATGAAGAGTATTCATGTGAATTCAGTGTAAAACTGAGTGCCAACCAGCAACACTTTGAGTGAGGGAAACAAAAGAAAACTGTATAGAAATGTGTCGTTGAGCAAAAATTTGTTGACCGAACGTCATGGTGATTGAATGAGCAAGTGCGCGCTTGTCAGCAGGCGACTGCATGGGATGCTCCCCATTTCCCCAGGGAGTGGAGAATGTGTGTTGTAATATGCGGAATCGTAATTGATTCCTGGGTAATAATACTGTAAGTGCTTTTGTAGGTTATCATGTATTACTGGTAAAGTGTTGTATGATTATTGATTAATCAAATTGCATGATAATTGTCGGTTTGAAAACTATACCTTGTTAATTCTTTATGTCTAATCAGCTTGCTTTAAGCTTTATTTTCCAGGGAGTGGAGAATGTGCGTTGTAATGTGCAGAATCATAATTGATTCCTGGGTAATAATACTGTAAGTGCTTTTGTAGGCTATCATGTATCACTGGTAAAGTGTTGTATGATTATTGATTAATCAAATTGCATGCTAAATGTCTGTTGGAAAACTGTACCTTGATAATTCTTTACGTCTTATCACCTTGATTTAAGCTTTATTTCCCTGCTTTCATTACATGTGCGCCTGTGTAGGATGTTGGATGCTTATATATCCATTTTAACGTTATCTGGTGTAGATTATGAGGAATCTGAATAATAATTTGCTCCGGCAACAACTGACCCAGGATTTATTTTATCAAAGCATTATGAACCGGGGCAGTGAGAGTCCATTTTAAAGTGAAAACAGAGAGCTAACTGTGTCTAGACCTTCTGGGATTTTCTCGTGTGGAAGTGCTATAATCTATTTACATTCCATTTTAATATCTCTATGACTCGGTTTTGGTATATTATCAGTGTAAGAAAATCATGACAAAAGTGGTAAGTTACTTTATTTATTTGATTGGTACTCTTTCAAAAGAAAATTGAAAGTGTGGCTGGATTGCCTTCTAAATCTTCATCATTTTGATTATCACCTTGATCTTATTGTCTTTCTAAATGAAAGAAAATTGAAATACAGAAATCTATTTATTGTGCCATTTATTGTGATGATATGACTGATGTCATCGACCAAAGGTCAAACGGCTTTCATCAGTGTTGAATGTCTCTGTTCATGTCACTGGATTCCATTATATTCAAAGTAGATATTTTTTCTGAGAATGTATTTATTTTCTAGAATGCGATGTCTGGTTGTTGATTTATTTTCTGATTTCACTGAATTCAATGTTCAGTATCCATTTTCTTGAGACTATATTTTTTTTGTACTTGTTCACATTTGATTTATTTCTGCATTTTTTCATTAAAATAAATCAAATAGTGTGGTAAATTTCTGAATAGATATAGATACATTAATTTGTACATCATCACTAATGGCTGAACCTTTGTGCATGTGATGTACATATAATTTACTATGAAATAATATTTTGATTTGGTTAACTACTCTTTTTAATGTATATCTTTAATGTTTGCTTAGGATCATCTGTGGGTATTACTGCTCATAATTATAGTCAAACCTGTTGTTGTGGCCACTTCGTCACACGTATGTCTCCCTCTTGAAAAAAAAATTAAGAAATTAGCACAATCAAAAACACTTCCAAGATATTGGTTTGAGGGTGCATTCCATACCTTAGTGTCAGAGTCAGCTGTACACAAGAGCTGGCCAACCCGGTTCGAGATGCACACAATATGGCACATTATTACCCGTATCAGACATCTGAGCTGGTCATTTACAAAACCGTATTGCCCTAGTTTTCACTAGCAGTGGGAACGGAGGGGTATATTCTTTGTATTTTCCTTGGTCTCCCTGCGCGTATTGACTTTGCGTGTAGAGACGAGTGAAAATATACCTTGGTATTTTCCACGGTCTCGCATATCCGGGTATCTTGTATTGACCGCGCCGTATTTTGCCATTTTCATTGCGCATCTATTATGCGTACGAGAACCTGCGCACTCTATTGTGACGTAATAATCACACCAAATGCACACTGTTTGCAGTGTATCGAAAATTTCGTCAAGTACTGGATGCACAGTGCTGGTTTGACAAAGTTTGTTCGGTTCTTTGAGATTGTCATGGTGGATTTCTGTATTTGCTCTAGATGTCTGATTTGGATAACAATAACAATATTGACTGGCTTTACTTTCGGGGGATATCAGAAATATTGACCGTGCTAAGACCATATTGCCCTCGTCTTTCGACTCGGGGCAATATGATCTGAGCTTGGTCAATATTTCTGATATACCCCTCAAGGCCAGTCAATATTATATAAATATACTGCTTTGTAGGGCAAGCACAAAACAAATGAATATACACCATGTTGTGACCCAGTGAAACCAAGTTGGCCAAACTCTGTGTATAGATGGCTCTGCTTAGTGTATATGTATATCCCATAGAAATCCTGCTCCGATTATGTAATATATAATCATTGTAATGTTCGCACACTAGGTGATGGACATGATTTATTGAAAGTCTTTACAACCGTGCTCAATGTCTAACCTGTGTAGAAAGATCACCTCTCTACAGTGGTCACATTTACCGTTTCCCGGACATGCCCTTTATAGACAGGTTCCACTGTGTATTTTCTGCAGTTCTTTCATCAATAGTATACTTGTATTGATTTTGTGAATGTATGTTATTGGTTTTGTAAATTTATTATGGTTTGAATCATGTCCTGGCCAATAATAAATATATATAGAGAATATTCCTCTCGCTAACAAAGAGTTTTGTGGACTTTTTCTCAGTCATTCTGGCCAATAAATGTATGTATTGTACAGCCTGAGTACCTGTCTCTAACTTTAGAAAAGACTTAATACTCTGAAAGGTGCCACACAGCACTTCTCGTTTTTGTAATCCCCAAAAGAAGTTAAGGCACATCTTATTAATTAGTTAAGGAGGGAGCTATTTCTCATTTTTCTTCAAAAAATGTCAACATCAAACTCAAGACGCATAGAAAATGAAAGAGTATTAAAGGATTATTATTCATTTGTAGTTCAAGAGAGATAAATAAGGTTTTGTGAAGAATTGATGGGTGGATGAATGGATAGATGAATGAATAGATAGATGGATGGATGAATAGATAGATGGATATATGAATGAATAGATAGATGGATATATGAATGAATAGATGGATGGATGAATAGATAGATTGATAGATAGATAGATGGATACATGTAGATGGAGGTGAAAATGCATCAATGAAGGCGGAAAGCATTTGTAACAGATTGGTAGAAAATATAAACATGAATGACATTATCACACAAATACGCACACCCATACGCACAAACGCACACACTATAACACCGTGTAGATTTCAGTTGTGCTTTATTTGAATAAGATCACAAGAAAATCCCATAAAGATATACAAAAATAGAGCCACAATGAAGCGTACTTTAAGTAATATTCCCATCGACCATGGTTGATATATCTTACAGTTAACATGAAAATAAATGAGAAAAGACAACGATACAGTTCAAGATGTACAAGGAATTGTGTTTGTAATGGGAAAAATAAACCCCTCAAATAAAGTTAAGAAACATTAGTTTGAACGCTTAAATCTCTATTGTCATGGCATAATCATTGCTTTGTTTAATGTCGTTAGAAAGAGTGTTTATTCCTCTTTGAAATGATATTTTTTTTGGTTTGATTTGGTAGTACGTCAGCATAAAGAGCAGGGTCAAAAGTTAAAAGTTGCAAAATGCACAGGTATTGTTATGCAGAGCACTCTTCTTTCTTTGACATAAGAGAGTGTTATTTTTGTAAAATAACTGTGGGGCTATTGTTCCGAACTGGTCATTTATGAATGCCAAATTCTAAAGAATCTGAAAAGTGAAGCATCATGCCTAATTAAAAAAATATATATATTTTAACAGACCCGAGGCAAATTCTTGAAATAATAGTGTATGCATGTTTATTTGAGAGATTAGGCATGTTTTTTCCCAATACAGTGTGTACTTTGCACATAAAAGGTCATCTGGAAACACGGCAGCCCTACACTCTTCAAAGAAAGAATAATATAGTTGAACAAGAGCAGTGCATTTTGCGACTTTTTACTTTTGACCGTACATTCCATGACCGAAACCTAGCAAACGGGATATGATTTAAAGAGGAATAAGCACAATTTCTAATGATAATCATAGCGATGATCACGTCTCGACAAGAGAGATATCGTCAATGAAGGGGTTTATATCATTAAATGATATTGTACAGTATTTCAAAAAGATTTTTTTTTTTTTAAACAGAAATCGGTAACATCAAGCAATTTGGAAAGGATATAAGAAAAGCATATTTTTTCTTATATACGAGACAATACATTGGTTTTAAGAAGACCAAGGCAGTGTACATTGGATAGCCGGTTATGTGTTGCTTCTAAAAAAGGCAATAGGAGACGTATAGTCATTTTGTTTAAATGTACAAAACGAACGAAACGAAAGTAGAACTAGTAAACCACATTATGAGCTACTACATAAAATTTAAGATAAGGCTCTCGAAAGCCGGGCAAAAAAGCAACATCTACTAGTTTCTTGTTAGTCTATGGGTACTTTTCGATTGGGTACATTTTGATTAGCTCGGTTATTAAGAAAAACACGCTACTTTCAAAGTTCTCTGTTATTGAGCATTGATCCAAGAAGAACTATACGATAGAGAGGCATGTTTTCTTTGAGAATGAATGGCACTGGTGTCGATATGATATTACGGAACAGACTTTCAAATAACCATTAAAAACGACAACGATGCCCCTTTTCGGTAGATAACACACTCGAGCGCCGTCAAATAATGAAACTACCCGATTAGAATAATAAACATTTTAAAAGCCATATAGAAATTGGTCTGATTGAAAGTGCAGCTACATTCTCTTCACATGTGCAATATCAATCGGGGAAAGTCGAATACAAAACAAACGAAAAACATGGCGATTGATACAAGTTACTTAACAGTTATTAATCCATCTAATATCATTCAGCAAAATATGTATATAGCTTGAGGTATATGAACAATTATGATATATAACTTTATTTTTTATAATTTTAATTGTACATGTATAATTATGATCATTTCTGCTTTTATGCACATTTTATTTAAACATAGCATTATTGGTCCTTGGACTATAGCATTGTACGTTGTATATGTTGATATAAATAAACCGAAATTGAATTGAATTGGATTGGATTGGATTGAAAAAAATGATCCTTTCTAACTTACAAATTAAGACAATTAAGATACCATCAATGTTTTCTACAGATTGCCTATTTCTAATTGCACATTATTATGCTTATATTCAGATCTTCATTTCCTCCAAGGGCATCATCTTCGGAAAGATCGTAAGCCTAATAAAAGTACTCCACTTCCAATGTCCTTTCCATGGTCCGCCGGCCTTTGCCGCACACAAAGCGTCATTTGCCTGACGGAGGACGTACGGCATCAGTGACTTGTGAGGTCTTAGATGCCCAACGTGAGAGGCGTCATCGTTAAATTGCAAAAAGGAAAGTGCAAACGAGTTCTTGAATTACTAAAGCATTAATTGCCCAATTGCTTTCACTTGGCTAATTGACTATCATAGGTAACACGCTAACGAATTGAACCCAGGGGAGGGGGGACTCAAATACGCGTTGCATACGAGGCGTCATTTTATTGACGTAGGACTGCGTAATTTTATTGACGTAACAATGCGTCAGTGATTGGTTTCGGTCTTTGACACACCATGTGACAGGCGTCAGCGTACACAAAAAAAAGTGATTGCAAAATGAACAATTTAAACAAAGCGATGAATGGGCGATTTGCTTGGTTAGCGCAGGTTTATAGAACAATCGCATTGACGGAAAACGAACGCCATTATTAATTTAAGAAGTCTTTGGCCCGCCTAAACAATAACTAGTTTAAACTATGCTTCGAATCACAGGAAGATCGAGGGGTTAATTGATTTAACATGCTTGATTAGAGCAGCTTGCTACTTTGTGTACTCTTCCTCCGAGCGGCAGCAGTGCAGCTGCCCTCCCAATAATTTTTAAACCTTCGTGTTATATGCCATGTACTTTCTCCCTCTTTCCTTCCTAAATCTCTCTTATCTTCCTCTGATCCCCCCTTCTCTCCCTCATTTTCTTTCTGTTACTTTCCTTTCTTTTTTCCCTTCTTCTTTCCATTTTGAAATTTGATGTATGATCACCCGGAAGGGAAGTTTTTTCTTTTGCTTTGGAAGCAGACAACAAAATCATATTCTAAATTATATTATATACAAATTATATTCTAAAAAATTATAATATTAAATTCTATTGTAACAGCGCAACTTATATGACGCTTCGTGTGCAACGGACATCAAAGGGAGCGTCCCTCCAGCCGGCCGGTGTCGACTGCGTCAATGACGAGGAGTTCGATGATTTTTAGCACAATCAAATGGAAGCTTCGCTGATCAGTTTGGTAATCTCGGTCGGTTCCGTATTCTGGACGCTGCTTTTCTTGCTGATGTCGAAAAGATTATGGGGGAGATCGTGGGTGCAGCCGGACTCGCTACAGAGCATGATGCTGCTGGTACGCCGACATCGCCCGCCTTGCTGAGCCTCGGCGGGGGTGCTTGGGTAGCGGAATCGATCAGGCTTCGCTAAACGCTCGTTGCTGTTCCATATACTGTAGCCGAAGTAGATGACTAAACCTGAAAAATTAAAATCATGCTGATCATTTTAGCGTTTCTACGGCACGTGCTTTGATGGCAATTGCTCCGCGATAAATTTCCGACATTAATGCCTCAGTCTCACCTTTGCGTATTTGGCTTGCGTATTGCTGCGTATTTATGGCAAGCCGTTTTAACATTTATTCCTATTTCTTGATTTCAAGAAATCGAATTCTTGATATCAAGAATTACCATTGCTTTACATCAGATTACCAAGAAAAGGGAATAAGTGTTAAAACGACTTGCCATAAATACGCAGCAATACGCAATTGAGCCAAATACGCAAATGTGTGACTGAGGCATAACCGAGTTCCTAACTTCAACCGTGGACTTATAAACTGTACTACAAATTCATGCTACAAGCTATTTCATCGTACTCCGGAGCTTCAGGAGTGATTAGAAATACAAACCTCACAAATCAATCGAGGGTGGATTAAAGTTTGCGACAGTCATATTGAGGATTTAGATATCAATATAAATGATCATGAAACCTTTGTGAATAACGTACCATAAGTGTTCAAAGAGAAACAAATAACATGATGTTTGCATAATGTTACAGCCTCTTTTGTGTTCAAAGAGAAACAAGTAACATAATGTTTGCATAATGTTACAGCCTCTTTTGGAAACTTTTAAGCGGGATTGTTAGGAGCAACAAACTTTAAAGTAATATTGTACCTGAAAATGTACACTGTAATTGTCTCAGAAACGCCGAAGATGACAAGAACACAGTGGGCGTACGTGTCTTCTTCCACTCTAGCAAATTACCCAATATCCAAATTTGCATACTCAACAGACCAAGTGTATTATATGCAGAATTGAGTAGTTTCAAAAAATGGGAAAAGCTTTCAATCAGAATAACTTACCTATAAGAACTAGAACAAGATATCTGACCCAGGTCATGGCATCCATCTTCATGAGAAGATAGGAGTCGATGAATATACTAAGAGCTGGTAGCAGGGGTACGAGAGGTACCTAAGGGGGAAGGAAATGGATTGGGTTTACATAAATGGTAGCTTAAAGGGGTACGAGGAATGTACCTTGAAAAAAGGAAATATGAGTCAATGAATATACCAAGAGTTGGTAGAAGGGGGTTCAAGGGGTACCTGAAACAACAGAAAGGGGTTATGCCAGTGGTAGAGGATATGCGGTTTGTCTGAAGGAGAGACAGGGGATTGATGGGTACACTAAAAGCTGGTAGGAGGGTTACAAGGGTTAGGTACATGAACACAGGAGGAAGGTCGAGGAATATACTGAGAGCTGGTAAGAGGGGAAAAAGGGATACCTTAATTGGTAAAAAAAAGAGGGTGCCTTAAATGGAAGAAAGGGGTCGATAAAGGATTAGCAGTAATGATTATCTGGTAGAATAGGTAGGGGTACCTGAAACAGGTCACAAGGCTTCGGGAATACTCAGAGGGCTGGTAGGAGGGGAACGATGGGTATCTGAGATAGGAGTCAGTTTATGTACTGAATTGAGTAAGGAGGGAGTAAGGAGGGAGTAAGGAGGGGCAAAGGAGGGGCAAAGGAGGGGCAAAGGAGGGGCAAAGGAGGGGCAAATGAGGGGTAAGGGAGGAGCAAGGGAGGGGCAAGGGAGGGGCAAAGGAGGGGCAAGGGAGGGGCAAGGGAGGAGCAAGGGAGGGGCAAGGGAGGGGCAAAGGAGGGGCAAGGGAGGGGCAAGGGAGGAGCAAGGGAGGGGCAAGGGAGGGGCAAAGGAGGGGCAAAGGAGGGGTAAGGGAGGAGCAAGGGAGGGGCAAGGGAGGGGCAAAGGAGGGGCAAGGGAGGGGTAAGGGAGGAGCAAGGGAGGGGCAAGGGAGGGGCAAAGGAGGGGCAAGGGAGGGGCAAAGGAGGGGCAAGGGAGGGGCAAGGGAGGAGCAAGGGAGGGGCAAGGGAGGGGCAAAGGAGGGGCAAGGGAGGGGCAAGGGAGGAGCAAGGGAGGGGCAAGGGAGGGGCAAAGGAGGGGCAAGGGAGGGGCAAAGGAGGGGCAAGGGAGGGGCAAGGGAGGGGCAAGGGAGGGGCAAAGGAGGGGCAAGGGAGGGGCAAAGGAGGGGCAAGGGAGGGGCAAGGGAGGGGCAAGGGAGGGGCAAGGGAGGGGCAAGGGAGGGGCAATAGAGGTACCCGAATCAGGAGTCTAGGATACACCAATAGCTGGTCGAAGGGGGTAACACTTGTGCTTGAACTATGTGAACAGGGCATGATGGTTCTTAGCTTAATGATTGAGAAAATAGAGTCACTGAATTCATTTTGTGCCTGCCATTTCATTTCCTTCTTTCGCATCACACATCAAGCATGTGTTTGTGGGCTCGTTATCGTTTTCGTCTTCCATTTTCCCTCTTCTTGTTCAAGCAGACATTCTTAATCTTACAACCTACACTTCATATATTTGCGGAAATAAACAAAGGCAACATTTGTGACGGTATAATCCTGCCGCTGTCATATATCTCTTAACCAAACGGAAAGAAACATTGAATCGTCAACTTTCAATCTCCTCTGTCCTGCATGACGAAGATATCATTTAGTAAATCTTTAATGTTAGATCATTTTCAAGCGTTACGGAATAACATTTCCACATAATCTTCAATTATGAATAAAGAATATTATAGACAGTTTCAATTAAAATCTACAACATTAATATATAAACTAATGTAAGTTACTTTCACACCAGTTACGTTTCCTGTCAACCATTTAACAAATTGATAAACTATTGAATTATGAATAGTTAATTTGTAGATGTTTATATTTTCAATCAAAATATCTAATGAATAATCTGGAAAGACCATCGGTTAAAAGCGGCCATATAATGTCCTTAACTGATTTTTTCACTTACCTTGAAGCCGACTGGAACTGTACTTTCTGGCTGTTTGACGATGATAAACAGTAGGAGCAGCATGAACGCTCCGATGGTAGATGCTGTGGCGATGGCCCACGGCTCCCGGTTGAAGAGACTTTCCTCCGCGAAGATGATCATGGCCTCCATACCGAAACACGTGCATACTAATATGAAAAAAAAGGATTAACACGTAAATTACTCTCACGACCTGATTAAATTCATATAATTCCAGTTATATCATAACGGTTTAATTAAAGCCCGTCTACACTAGTTTGGCCAGGAGAGATTAGACCACCCTGCTGGTCACTGACAGGTGTTTATCTCATTAACTCAGCTCTCAATAAAACATAAGAAAAAGAGGATCATGGGGGATGCCACTTACCGCTTAGGCATGGTTTTCTATATAATAATAATAATAATAATAATAATAATAATAATAATAATAATAAACCATTCTTAATATAGCGAAAATCACCACAAAAAATGTAAGTCCCTATGCGCTAATATCATAACGGTTTAATTGCTCCCTATATAGGGAGCAAGTAGCTACAAGTAGTGCAGTGGGGCTTTAAAGGTGTATTTGATAGAAAAAATTGATCTTAATTTTTTTTGTGCAGAAAAAGTCGAAGATCTCCTCCCTTTTTATTGCTGCTGTTAGAATCTACTTTCTTACATGACACTGGTCGACCTATTTACTTCCTTATCCTATTTTCTCTCGTTTTGTGTGGGTTTTAGAAACATTTTTTTATTTGTTCTAAGCGTCATTAACTTATCTAAAATTGACATATTTTGGGGGCCCAACTGGCCCTCGCCTCCTCTTCACACCAATAATGGACCAGCATTTTAAAATATTTTACCCAAAGGCATATAGAACTGTAATAACTTTTGTTTCTGTTGTTTTTATTGTTTTTTCTTCACATTTTTCGCTTCTCGTTTTCTTTGTTTGATGTGCACCAAACAAAACATGGATACGCCCCTAAAAATTGTAGTCTCATTTTGATAATTTACTTTATCAGTCCGATCACTCCATATTAACCTTGATGCTGTGGAAATGTAATATTACGCACAAGAAATATCTCCTAAAAGTGGAGGTGTTTCTAAATTTAACATGTTTTCAATGATGTATTTTGTGTCATAATGAAACACATCGACAATTATTTATTGATGACTGACAATGAAGACAAATCTGAAAGAAATCGCGAGTCTTACTAAATAACACTACACAAACTATGACGACTCTATATGACAGCGGGGTGGGCTCGTCGTAAACTGGTCTGAACGCCTGGCTCAAGAACTTGGCAACGGAGGATCGCTTGGCATCGGCGTAGCCCGCCTGGTACCCATCAATCTGAGGGAAAAGGAAGGTGCTCGATGAGGCGGGGGCTGACATGTCCGGTTCTTTTCTGAAACAGAAGACAAATTATTGAAAACTTAAATGAGAGGAGAAAGATAGGTAGAAGAGGAACGAAAGAATTGGTAATGTTCCCAAGGCCTGAGCGCAAATGAAAATAAATAGAGTAAGATTATTCATAGTGTTAAATTTTAGTTTCAGCTTCCACCGACCTTAACATTTAGTAGGCAAGATATTAGTTGAAGGGAAGGGAAGAACAGAGAGATGCTACACAAGAAGAAAGGAAGTATGAACATAAATAGAAGGTAAAATCATTATTTCTATCTTTAGCAAAATGAGAAGGGGATTGGAAAAGTCATATCAAACGGTTCCGTGGATAAGAATACTAAAATGAACAAAATGAGAATACGAAGAAACGTTATTATTTTTTATAAACGGTTATCATCAAGACATGGACTTTGGAATTTATCTTATATTGTAGAACAAATGTTTGAAACTGCTTGAAGGGGTACCCATTTAGGACACTTTTTCTCTTTCTATCTCTTTTACATGACTTTAAACTTTGTTTTCAAAGAGCGACGGACAGCGTGAAATTTCTTGATGAAAGATTGACCCGGTAGCAAAACATGACGAGGATTCTGCCCTATGACATTCACCTGAGTATAATGACGCATGCGGCCACAGTGAGGAAGGGCACCATTGCCCCCATGACCACGACGTTGACCAGGGATTGGAGATCAATGACCAGGGTGATCATGCCTAAATGAGGAAATAAAACATGTGGGGTTCAGTAACACAAACACGTAACTCCATATTTTGCCAAAATTAGTAATTGATATCAAAATGTTCAGAAAAATGTGGGCTTTCCTGGAAACACAAGACTTTACTCCACCCAACACCCAATTAAAGTCAATGGCTAGTGAAACATAGACGTAACTCCTTAAGGCCCAAGTGCTCAGTGACAAATAAACCACTTTTTCTCAAAATTGCCAAACTGTAGTTACATCTTTTTGTCACTGACCACTCGATGTTTAAATAATTAAATAATATTATTTTATGAAATAATGACCAAACAAGAAAGAGCTTGCTTTTACGATAATTTTCACCATTATCTAGAATTTTGTGCTGAAAACGATTTGAAAGAGATTTTAAATGTTTACCTTCTTCTCCTAAAGAAACACATTTTCGTGTCCTACTAGACCACCCCAAAAAAATGTACATATATAAAAGTATTTTGTTGTTCACACATCTGTACTTAACAACTATCCATTTCATAATTCTGCCAATACCGATACTTGAGAGGCAATGGTAAGCGTGGGAGGGTTTAAGACCTGCGGCTACCTAGCTTTTTCCTACAGAGCGTTTATATTGCCCACATTCGGGCAACTTTCACAACATATTCGGGAGCTTTTCCAAAAAAACTAATGTTTTCATGAACAGTCAAACCTGCTTGAGTAAACACCTGTCTACAAAGACCACATTTTTTGTTTTCCTTGAAAATGGTTTCTCATTGAAACATGTAATAAAGAAACATGTCTATAAAGACCACCTGTCTACAAAGGCTAACTTTTGTGTTTCCCTTGGGCGGTCGCTATAGACATGTTTGACTGTACAATCGAATCAGTCATTTGAAATCGAAAAAAAGATAGTACCTGCAATTATCCCGGATGTAAGGCAAGCATAAAGTGGAGTCTGGAAGTGGGAATGGACTTCTCCAAGAAACTTAAAGAGCATGCCATCTTCGGCCATTGAGTAGAGGAAGCGAGGTAAAGCGAACATGCAACCGTACAAGCTGTTAAGAGAGAAGAAAGGGAAAGATAAGAGAAAGAGAAGGGAAAGAATATTTTGAAATAGAAAATGAAAGTAAGATAAACAGATAAAACTAATACGGAAACTTTTTGAAAGGGAAGTTTGTTGACTGGGCATGTTGGAGAATGAAAAGATAGGAAACAGATGATGAAAAGGCGAGGAAAACAGTCTAACGTGGATGGAGAAAAGTAGGCAAAATTAAGAAAAATAAACATGGTTGGCAGTCCATACTTGTTTTAAATGATGAAACTGCAGCATCGATAAAAAGAATACTCATGATCACTTTATACGGAACGTTTATAGAAAGAAAACGATTAAAATTATCATCAAGAGCAGACAGATTCGAAGAGAAAGCAAAATGCAAGATTAGGGATATAGAAGGAAAGAGAAAACAATTGAAACATTTCATTAATTCAACGCTCTACCACCTAGGTGTATTTCTCATGGATCATCAATGTTTCATTATTGCAATTCAACTTGCCTTGTTATTAGTCCGCAGATCCCGCCCATTCCGATGACGTAACGCGCCACGGTCCACCCCACTTTGTCGAACGCGACGGGCAACGGAGCCTCCTCGTCCAATAGGAAATATGGACACATGAGCGTCATGACACACGACACGCCCATGTATGCGATAAACGTGAGGAGCAATGAAACCATGATGCCGATTGGCAGGGTCTTCTGCGGGTTACGCACCTCCTCACCTGATTAGTCACAAGTTTGGTCACGTGGTTAAAGCATTGGACAAGAAAAAGGCAGTAAGTCAAATTAGATCGATGCCCTACATGTAACCTAGAAATTGTAGCTTTTGCCTTTTGGGACGCTATAGATGCACCAAAATAAATGTTTCTTTTTACTAATACAGCCAATCATCACCCCCCCCCCCCTCTCTCTCTCCCACTCTCTCTCATTCTCTTTCGTCTCGCTTTCTATTTATATGTGACTGTGTGTGTGTGTTTTTCTCTGTAACTTTTATCTCATCTATTATTATTTTTCCTTCCTATCTCTGCCTATCACTTTTTTTACTCTCTTCTATTCACAACACTCTCTCTCTCTATCTCCCTCCTCTCTCTCTCTCTCTCTCTCTCTCTCTCTCTCTTCTCTCTCTCTCTCTCTCTCTCTTTCTCTTGCTCTCTCTATTTCTCTTTCTCCCTCTCTCTTCTCCACTCATCTGTCCTCGGCTCGCCAAATTGCCATCTCCACCTCTTAAATACTTCCTGCGCTATTCCTAAAAAAAAAGCATTTCTTATACTCCGGTCCACTCTCTTTATGCGTACCTAAATTCTCTTTTGCAAAATACTGTAAATTTCGATATCCTTAAATTAATAATAATTATGTAAATTATTCTTACCTGCCGTAGCTACGACTTCAAACCCGATGAACGCATAGAAGCAGACCGCTGCACCGGCAAACACCCCGCCCGTTCCATAGGGAAAGAACCCCCCGTTACCAAATTCGGAGCACATCTCTGGGCCACCCGTTACAACAGATGACGAGCTGTTAAGCCATACCGACTCCGGTTGATCATCACAGGGAATCTTTTTTATTTAATAAAGAATTCAGGACACAAACAATTTTATTTTGGGGATGTGGTCGTTATTGCTAGATTTTACTCGAATCCCGAATTAAAAGCACATTTTCAAAAGGACGTCTTAAAACCCTTTTCATAGGATTATACTCTTTCAGTTTTGTGATTAGGTTTGGATTGGTCCCTTCAACAATGTTACCGAGTCACTTTAAGTATATATTTGGTTACATTAGGAAGATGGCCTTGTAAATGACAGTATTAAAGATGAAGACGACAGTATTATGTAGATGAATGCCGATTATCTACAGGTATCCTTTCAATCCTTGTATTTCTTAGAAATCATACTTCACTTGACTTCTTCTATAAAAAAATCTCTATTATTATTCTAAGTTTGTTGGTAGTCTAACAGGGACAGCGCATCGTATCCTCTGTAAAAGGCGCTATGATTATAAATCCAATTTTGTTATCATTATCATTGAAATGTCGGGGAGGGGGGGGGGGGCTCGGAATAAAATGATGACTGGAGGGCGTTTCACGAAAATTGTCATCAGTGACAAATGACAGTTTTTGTTATATGCTACTGAAATCCTTGGTTATCAGCAAAATTTGTCACTGATTTTTGTCATTTGTCCTTGGAAAAAGGCTTTGTGAAACAGCCCCAGCAGATTGTGTATACCTTTGGAAGATCGTCCATGGGTATGGACCAGTTGGAAGGGACGATCTTGAAGAAGCCACATATTATGATATAGGAGATGACCACGAGGTTGAGTCCGGTAAACATGTTGTTGAAAACGGATGATGTCTTGACACCGATGCCCATCAGAACTGAGGAAATTGAAGATAGAGGAAATGAAGATGGATGGATAGGGAGAAGAAAGAGTTCAGGTAGAGAGAGGAAGATGGACGAATGGAGTGAAGGAAGGAAAACGGGAGACAAAAAAATAAAATGAATGATGAAAAATTGTGGGGAGTAACTGAAGCTAAAACAAATTCAGGAAAATATAAAACACGAGAGGGGTAGGACGGGGATGGGAGGGGAGAGAGAGGAAAGAAGGAGGGGAGAGGAGAGGGGGAGATGAAGGGAGAGGGAGAGGGAGGGGAGAGGGATAGGGAGGGGAGAGGGAGAGGAAGGGGAGAGGAAGAGGGAGGGGAGGATAGGGATAGGGAGAGGGAGAGGGAGAAGGAGGGAGGAAGTGAGGCAGCGAGAGAGGCCGGGAGTTAGGGAGGTAGGGTGGGAGGTATAGAGAGGGAGGATGGGAGAGAGGGAGGATGGGAGGGAGGGAGGATGGGAGGGAGGGGAAAAGTCCCTTCAGAGCAAGTACAAGACGACGAAAGTAGAGAAATGGAAGGAAAGGTTAACAAAATCAGGAGTTCGAATGAACACCAAAAAAAATCGAAGATAGATTTGGAATACAGACATTAACAAATACAGGAAAGAGAAGAGAAAAAGACAACACGATAAGCTGCAGAGAAGATGGATTATTATATTAATTGACCAACAGCTATTTTCATAAAAAAACAACTTTATCAAAAGTATATGATCAACGTTTTGTTTACTGATGCTAAGCACGGTGTTATATAACTTCATCAAGAAAATGTATATATATAAATTTTCAACTCAAATCTCGATATATTTTGTAATAATATACCTGATGAAATTATGCACAATGCTGTACCAAGGAAATCCGGATATTCGGCTAACCATGACGTATGCATGGCAAGATTCGCGGATAAGTAAGTATCCATCTTGTTCCCTATCATGGCGTCGATGTAGGCCGTCGTCGCCCTGGCAACCGATGCCGCTCCTGTTTAGAGAATATTCAAAGAAGAGTAAGGGATCAATTTTATTTGTTTCTCATCCTTAAACTGAAAATATGGTCACCCCCCCCCCCAAATCAAACACCACCGATTGCCTGACTTCGACATTTTTAGAAGAAAAAGATGTAGGCCCAGGCGATGTGGATTATTATTGTTATTATTAGTAGGCATTTGGCTACGCTATTCAAAGTACACTATATCACAGCGCTTACAATAATAATTCATTTATTATAAAGGATTCATTAATGTTCGATAATACATTACTGGGAGATTCAAAGAATTTTCTTTGGACGTTCTTAGAAGAAAATATTCAATTATTGAATGGTATTGTAATATTAATGAGTAAAGATTTCATCATATTTCGAGGAGGGGGCGTCTTAGACTTTCGTGTAATTTCATTTGATTATCAAAGGCGGGGATGCCAAGTTTCACTTTTTAATTCTCATTCCCAAGAAATACATGATCGATAAACAAGTTAATAACGACGGTAAAGAGAAATGCAGCTATGAAATAAAGATATTTTTTACTACTTAAATATAGTACATTTGTTCTAGATTATTTATCTTTTTCTGTTATTTATTTTTTTATAATAAATATGATGACCTTACCTAAAATGTTTTCAATGAGTACATTCCACCCGACAAAGAAGCCGATAAACTCGCCCATTGTGACGTAGGTGTAAACGTAAGCAGACCCCGCCTTTGGCACGCGGGCCCCCATCTCAGCAAAACACATCCCTAAAAGAATAAATAAAATGCTGATCGTATTGCTTGCTGGTTCAGATATATCGAAAGGTGGTGATTATTCAGATTAAAAAAACTATATACGAGATAGATAGATAGAAAGATGGACGGATATATATATAGATGGACAGATAGATAGATAGATAGAAAGATGTTGATATATATAGGAAGGTAAATAGATAAATAATTAGATATAAAGATAGATAAACTGAACGATAGGTAGGTAGGTAAGTAGATTGGTAGGACCGTCAAACGGGTAATTTATATGAATAGATAAATATACAGTGCATCCCAGAAAAAAAAAGAAACCGAGAAATATCGATTTTTATCATAACTTAATCACAATTATAATTGATAAATGACACATAATTATTTGTAACGCTTGTATCCTCCTCTTTCATTTGATGCAACTCATATGATGTATATTTCACGCAGGAGTGATTAAAAACAATTTTAAGAAAGGGTACCGACAAGTCATTTGGGGAACGGTATCTGAATTTCAAGGAGAGAATCACATATCCATAAAGTTTATTTTCTGCTTATCATAATGACACCTCAATCAGGAAAAAATAAGCCAGGAATAACAAAGTTTTATTTTCTGGGACGCACTGTATAGATGGACAGATAGATAGAAAGAAATATGTTGATATATAGGAAGTTATATAGATAGATAGATAAAGATATAGATAGATATACAGATAGATAAACTGATTGATAAGTAGGTAGGTAGGTAAATAGATGGGTAGGACGCTTAACGGGTAATTTATATTATTGAATAGATGAATTATCGAGAAAAGATCGAGAAAATACACAAAATGATGATCTTCCGTACAAATTTTTTTTTTTTTTTTTTTTTTACAAAAGAGTGAAAGATTATTGTTTTAAACAAATAGATATATATAGATACAGAAATTGACATTTAAATATAGATTGATGTGTTATCCACACTGTGAAGAATCAAACATTGATGTAAAATATTATGCAAATGTATGCGATTTTCGGTATCGCGCCATTATTAAAGTATTTATATTGAACTTTTACATAACACGTTGACAAATCTTTAACAGAATAGTATATTAATTTTTCTTTTCTTATTCATTCAACAATTATTGCATACACCATGTTACAATACGTATTCATGAAGATCTTTACAAGAAATCGAAGACAAATGATAAATCAAGTACGTGCGTACCGTATCAGTTATCATTTCAGAAGCTGATTAGGGTGTATACGTCATTTGTTATCGTCTCATGTAGCTGTACTGGGTTCAATACGTGTTATCAGATACTTCACCCAATATCAGGCAAATCGTATCATGATATCTACGTCATGATCTATATTTTTGCTTTACATATCAACGAGAAGTGCTATGACTGTAATGTTTATGAAACTATTTTTTCCGTGCATTATATCCTGCACTTTCTTCCATTTATTTTACTAAAATGATCTTGATATGGTCACTTACCATTGCTAGTGTTACCAGAAAGATTCATGGTCAATAACCACCCGTTCACACTAGCATTGCATGTTTTTATACAATACCTACTCACAAAATCCAATTACATCTTAAGCTGTTGCTGTGTCAGAAATCCCCAAGCAACACCATGAAAAGAAGGCACTATGAACATGACTGACAATGAGAGCGGACAAAATATACAGTTCCTCAGGTAGACAAAGGAACATCCTTCACTGCTATTATGTAAAGATGTGTAGAACAGGTGTCACATGCATATTCACCTTTTTACATAATAGCTGTGAAGGGATGTTCCTTTGTCTACCTGAGGAACTGTATATTTTGTCCGCTCTCATTGTCAGTCATGTTCATAGTGAGGGTTTCAATGGGCTATTATATGAAAACATGCAATGCTAATGCAATAAGGTACTCAGTGGGTGAGGACATACCACTGTCTTTTATGAACAGGTGGTCAGTTGATGGGAAGGGACATACCAAAGTTCAGTTCAGTTCATTTTATTCAAAACCACACAAAGCAAGATATAATCTGTTACATAAACAAGAGACTGGTAATAGTACATCAATCAGCATACTCTAACTTGATTACATCATAAACTGAATGGTTTTAGGACCCCTAAAACCATCTAGCTGACTGATGAATGACTGGCATGATGATGTCACAAAAGTCATTTGCTTTTGGAGGTTTTTTTTTAGGGGTGGAGCTAAGCAGGTAGAACAAAATAGAACAAAATAATACAAAAATATATGACATAAATGTACATCAAAAGGTCAAAGATATGTGACGTAAACGTTATTACAGTTCAACAAAAGTCAACATGAATTTCTAATTTAGTTACCCTTTAAATACTAGGCTGAAGTCATTGTTATACAATGCTCCCCAGAAAAAACGAAACCGAGAATTATCAATATTTTATCATACCTTTACCACAATTATAATTAATAAATGACACATATTTTTAAAGCTTAAATCCTCCTGTTCCATTTGATGTAACTCATTATGATGCATATGTTATGCTTGAGTGATTAAAAACGGTACCAAAAAGTCATTTGGCGAACGGTTTCTGAATTTCTAGGAAACAATCACATTTCAAGAAAGTTCATTTTCTGCCCTTTCATAACAACAAAGAAGACGAAATACTTCATGCATGGCTGATCGTCAAGGAAACGGAGTTCGTTGTTTGATGATATGCCAGGCAGCCAGTGAAAATGAATACGTTTACTAAAATTATGGAAATGCAAGCAATACTTAGAACAAGTAGAACTTGGTTAATCCTGGCTCATTTTTCCTGATTGAGGTGTCATATAAAGGGCAAAAGAAGAACTTTCCGGAAAATTTGATTTTCTCTTTGAATTTCAGATACCGTTCGCCGTTCGCCAAATGACTTTTTGGTACCCCCTTTTCAAATTGTTTTTAATCACTCATGCGTGAAATATGCATCATAAGAGTTGCATCAAATGGAAAAAGTGGATCTAACCTTTACAAATAAATGTTAATACTTAATTATAATTGTGATTAAGTCATGATAAACATCGATAACTCTCGGTTTCGTTTTTTCTGGGACGCACTGTATTTTACAAGTCTCTATTTGGATCATCGTAGACTGAGAAAGTCTGAATGACAGTAAAATACTGATTCAAATGGCGAAATGCATTTCAAATTTGTTTGAGTGAGAGATTAACAACATAAACGTAAAGCAATGATATTAAAAACGCAATCGATGTTTATCCAGTTAAGAGTGAAAACTTGCTGTCCAGAGCAAATCATTTTTTTCTTCATTTTTAATATCCCATAAAGGCATTTATCTTGTCAGAGAAAGACTTTACCAACCTCTCACTTTACTACGGCAGCTTCCTCAATAGTCGCTTACTCTTGAAGTAGCTGTGCGAAGATTTTAAAAACAAACCCTTATTTCATAATGCAATACTTCGAATGTTTCCAAGCATTAAGTTTTGATAAAATTGTCCAATCACAGTTTCACCTTTGCGATAATGAAAATAAAGTTAGTTTTTGTTTAATTCTTCGCACAGCTACTTTAACATACTTTTTTGTCTTTACATACCTGCTAGAACAGCGGCGACGGCTGCGATCATGAACGAGAGTACGAGGGCGGGACCGGCGATCCATTTCGAGACTTGACCTGTGATGACGTAGATGCCGGCGCCTAGCGTGTTACCGATGCCGAGAAGGATCAGGTCGCCGACGGAGAGGCATCTCCGCAGCCTCGAGGCCGCCGCGGCTGTCGGGTCCTTGTTGATTTGCTTCTTGCGCATCAGAGCGTGCGAGATCTGCCGCAATCTCGACATGGTTCTTTTCCTGTATTTAATTCACTTCGTTTTAAAGTCAATTGTATTCAAATTGTGAACAGTTTCAACGATTTAAACGATTAAATAATATAAATAATATAACACGGACTGATGTTTTAAAACCTCTTGGTTCCCGCGCGTCAAGAAAAAGGCGTTTATTTTGTCTGCACAAATTTGTCTTGTAACCCTGGTGCCGTGCGTATTCATGCAGACGATGAATGAAATAAGGTTCGTGTACTGCTTGGGTGATTGTGGGAAAATTGTTGTCATAACTTAGAGCAAAGCACCTGTGAATTTTCCACTCCAGTCGTTCGACTCTGATCTATATGCTATTGTTTCATTTGGCTTACAGGCTGAGGGGTTGGGGTGGAATGAAGGATGGGGCTAAAGCCCCTTTCACACCGGGCTATACGTAGAGCTGCGTAGCATTGCGTACCGACTACACCGAGTATACGATGCCCTACGCTGGCCTACGTAACTTTACGCTGAGGTACGCAAAGGGGTACGCGAGATGGAATCGCGTACTTTCGGCGTAGAAACTAGACGCAGAAAGTACGCATTTTTACGCAAGGATACGCAACACTACGTAAACTTACGCAACCCTACGCCTGTTATACGCAATCGTACGCGTAGGTGCGCCAATTGCAAGCGCCGTAGGTACGCGGTGCCTATGCACAGGGTACGTAACCATGCGCCATCGTACGCCAGCCTACGCATAACCTATGCAGGAAATTTATTGAAGTTGAGAACTTTTCAACAAATGTTTTTTCCTTATTTGAATATTTAAAATGCCCATGAGCGTCTGGAGAGAGAAGGATCGTGACGCCCCTGATTCAAGATTTATTGTCGGCATATATTTTACCATTTTAACCCCCCCCCCCCTCACCCCTCCTTTGTGTTAGCTTAACTAACGAATTTGGAACGTAAACATATTATTTGTTATCGCTGATGAGTTTTCTTTTCGCTTGTTTGAAGAAATTAATTTGGCTTACTTTTTTGGCAATTGACCCAGACACCCCCATCCAAAATGTTAGAGGCACACCCAACTATGCCACATGGACTTTGATAGCATGTACAATAATAATTTCGTGTTTAATATGAGAGCGTAGCAAGCTGTTATGCTTTTGAACTATTACCCTAGTCTTGTAAGCCAATGAATTGTAGTGACTTTTGAGAGATTGGAATATTTAAATGGCAATTATCATGAGTAAGTGCAGTTTTGAGCAAAAATAGTTATTAAGAACAAAAGTTTTGAGGTCGCTGGTAAAAAGACAATCAACCCCCACGTTTTCCATGATTGGTATAATAAAGTGAGAATGATCTGGACGAGAATGCTTTCAATTTATCCCATTCTATCAAAAATGTATACATTTACATCTACCTCAAATTCTTATTACTCTCCCATAGTAATGTTTTAGCGCTCTGACATTATTTACATGTTTTCTTTCCCGTTAACAGTATGTTCAGTCAATAAAATACACATGGGCCCGAAATCACAAAGGAGGTTTGTCGACAAACCTAGGTTTATGTGCGCCCTATGACGCGTTTTGACGCGTTTTTACAAACCTTTGTAAAAAACGCGTCAAAACGTGTCATATAACGCACATAAACCTAGGTTTCGACAGACCTTCTTTGTGAATTTGGGCCATAATGTCTGCCACTCTAGATTATTAGAAATCCAGTATGCTAGCATTTGTTTCTCTCACATAGATATTACTTAGAGTCAGTATCGGGTTAAAGGGATTGGGTAACTTTGCCTCAGATTCTAAAACACACCTGGATTTAGCTCATGCTGCAATCATAATTATGAATCCCATGACTTTTAAAAGCCAATCGCCTGTCGGATTATAAAGATATCTATGATTGGAATTAGAAATTTCAGAATTCGTTTTCCTAACGGTTTTTACAACACTACAGACTATTGGGGGCAAATGAGTATGGTAAAACCGGTCACTCAAAGATTTTACTTTTTCGAGGCACTTCATGATCATTTTGAAGCGCAATTTGTTGGGCTTCAATATTACACCATATCACAGACACTGATAACACGTAGGGCCATGCATCTCGGATTTAATATTGTTAAACGATTTTAAGTCGACCTATTTACCCAATTTCCCCTGCGATATAAATGTTGTGAAACTTCGCAGCTGTGTTTTTTAATTTTGCGATAAGATGTGTAGATTGTCCATGAACGCGTTGGTATAATTCATACAACTTTAAGTCAACAATTCACTGATAATGCACGGCTGTAGCGCATGTGAACGACGATGGTGCTTGCATGTGACCGTCTGACCAACCGCCGAGGCCCAGTTATACCCAGTTAGGAAAGTCAAACCTGCCTTAGTGGCCACCTCTCTACATAGGCCACCTGACTATAGTGGTCAACCATATTGGCTTCCTGAAGAAGGAAATGTGTATTGAAGAACATGTTTTTAAAGGCCACCTGTCTACAGTGGCTAGTGGCATGGACCATGCTAGTAGTGGCCACCTTTTTGTATTTGAGTGGCTTTAAAAGAGAGGTTTGACTATATGAAATACGGATTAATAGAGGCATAATTTTGGAATTGAAGTTAAACTACTAAAAGTGAGGTATTTCGACGATTGACTTTGAGTAACTAGTAGACTTTTAGAATTAAAACCCTTCTGTTGGACGTAAAAACATTCATGTTTGAAGTATTTTGAAAGGCTACAATTCGTCAATAGTTGTGTAAGAAAAGGAAAAACGCATATAAACTGCCAAATTTGATGGCAGTCGAGAGACAAGTTGGTGCAAAAGGAGGCGAAATTTCCTCCAAGGAATACAAACTGTCATTTAAAATGTTCACAATAGTTTTAAGTTCACAAAATTGCAATTAATCATCATCAAATACTAAATTAAAAGTCAAATCCCTCGTCAGACGATACGCAATAACTGATGCGAATCCAGCTCCAGCTGGATAAATGCAGCGTTTCAATTGGCTGAAAGCATGACCCCAGGTCAGGCTGGAACTTCCGTAGCAGATCGTTGATTGGCTGACAACGTGACAAAGATGGGCGGAGCTTAGATACTACAACTTGTTCGAGGGAGAACGTGCGAGGCTGATGGTAAGTAAATTACGAAACCAAGGCGTTTGAAGGTCATGACGCCAGAGATATCTTACAAATTTTCAGCTGATATTTCGCGTATAGTCCATTCTTTTAGAATCATTGCTACTGGGGGAAGGGTGTGTGGAATTGCTATTTCCTGCAATTTTCACTAATTAAACTCGAAATTTGAAGTGAATAATCTTCACCACGAGCGGATTTAGGAAGATGAATTATTGACTGACGGAGATCAGAAATTGAAGAAATTAGTCGGTTCTCAACACTCGAGTGAGTTAACAGACAACGGGATATTGGATATAGAGGTAAGTTATATAATGTACATTTATTTATAGATAAATCAGTATTGTACGACATAAATAGGAATCTTACCCTTAATTGACTTGTTCGCACATTTTCTTCAGCTAAAAGGATTGCTTATTCTTTGCTCGGAGATACCCAGTATTATACAGTATATAGCAATAATTATTATGATAAACCTGATTTCCGATAGAAAAAGCAATTTGATGCATCGGTTTGGGCACAAGGAAGAAATATTTATGCAAAATTATTTGAATAAACCTGTGTGCTGGATTATCTTCGATGGCTCAAGCATAACGTCAGTAGCGATAACAATGAAAACATGTCAAAGGTGATTATATTTCAAAAGTTATAACATATCAAAAAGTCACTTCGTATCAACATTTATTAAAGCCCGTCTGTACTAGTTTGGCCAGGAGGGATTAAACCACCCAGGGTGGTCACTGACAGGTGGCTATCTCGTTAACTCAGGTCTCAATTAGCATAAGAAAAAGGGCATCATGGGGGACCAATGGTCACCGATTAAGCATTGGTTTCTATATAGAGGGAGCAAGTAGCTACAAGTAGTACAGTGGGGCTTTAAGACAAAGAATTATTATGGATAGAGAGAGAATGAAAAGTGAGATGGGGCGTCGGGGAGAAATATACGGAAGGAGACAAATTGATGGGCAAAAAGAACATTGGCGTCTCCAGGGGGGGGGGGGGGTCCTCTCATTCGCCTTCAAATTAGTAAGTATGTTATGATACACTAGTATTACATGTCAAAATGTTTGCTAATGTTTCTGTTCCTATAGACGAGAAAATGCAAGACGAGAAGTGATTTCGCCTGTGCGGGGAAGCTCCTCCTAATATCAATATTTTCGTCTGAGTTCGACTTCTAAACTCAATGTTACTCCTGAACAGTCACCCTAAGGGTCGACAAATTTAAAGCAAATGTGAGAAGGTTGAAAAGACATGAGAGGTAATTCAATGAAGCGTGATGTGAGAAGGATCATACGATTGAGAAAGTGGTATCAAGAAACTTAAATTGAGAACTAGATATGAAGGTTGGGATATTATTTATTGACAAGGAGACAGGAAGGGGGATAAAGAGATATAGATAGGGAAAGAGAAGGAAAGAGAGACAACGATAGGGAAAGAGATAGTAAGTGAGAGAAGAGAGGGGAATATACAGAGGAGAGAGAGGGAGAGAGAGAGGGGGAAGAGAGAAATAGAGAGAGAGAGAGGGAGAGAGAGAGAGAGAGAGAGAGAGAGAGAGGGGAGCGAGAGAGATGGTGAGAGAAAGAGAGGGGGTAGAAGAGAGCGGGGTAGAAGAGAGGGGGGGGGGAAGAACCATCTATACACAGAGTTTGGCCAACTTGGTTTCACTGGATCACATCATGGCGCATATTCTTTTGTTTTGTGCTTGCCCAACAAAGCAGTAGTCGCCATATTGTGTCCAACTCAAACCGGGTTGGCCATACTCTGTGCACAGATGGCTCTGGACGTGTCACGGGAATGAATCCGACCGATGAATTTCCAAATGTTCCAATAAAATTAATCTGATCTGAATCTGAATGTACAAAGAAGGGGAAATCGGAACTCAATCAAGGAAAGAATTTTAAGATGTATGGAAACAGAAAGATATAGACTGAAGGAAAATTAGAGAGATAGAGGGAGAAAGAGAAGGAAAGAGAGAGAGAGAGAGAGAGAGAGAGAGGTGGAAGGGGTAGTGATTTTACTTTGAGGTTAATAAGTTCCAATCTACCGTAGACAACAGGCATTTCATGTACATGGATATTTATCTCTCTCGAGGTAACGCGTTATGACGCTTTATTCTTTAGAACGCAACTTGTATTAATGGAAGTTAACCAGAAAAACGTAATTTCATCCAAAATGGTGGTACACAGGTCATATCGATGTAGGTCGAGCCTATATTGTGCACTATAGATAAGAAACATGTTGTACTTATAAATATGAATAACAAGCATGATTACCAATACATGCTGTCAAATAAATAAACGATGTTGTACTTCTATTTGTTATGAAATAAGTCATCTTTAGCAGAATTTAAGTTAGATTTAAGTTAGATTTAAGTTAGATTTAAGTTAGATTTAAGTTAGATTTAAGTTAGATTAAGCTGATTTATTCATTTATTTGTATAAACAAACTGTAATTTTGATTTTGTAATGTAACATAGCATACTGTATAATTGTGTACTGAATAATATTGTGTACTTGTGGTGCTGTTGTCCTGGCTTTATTTCGTGTAAGGATATTGCTTTACTTAATGGCTGCTGGGACAACAGCACCACTGCGCCTAGAAACAATGTATTAGGCGCGTTATAAATGTTATCTATTAGTATTATTATTATGCTTTTAAATTGATACTAAGTTCTTCTGTTCACTTTCCCACACAATAACTAGGTTGATGTACAAGTGTATCATGATTTTTGTAAATAGTAACACCTTCCAGGGTCGTCTCTATATTTTAAGCGGGGGAGGGGGGTGTGGTGGTTGAGCTCCCCCTTCAAAAATTATGTCAGTATGCCATTATTATTAAAAAATTCGTTAGTGCAAAAAGACACCTCCCCTTTTCTTCAACGATCCGGGAAATAATGCAGTATGCAGTAACCATTCCGGATTGGAGGCAGGGGGAGGGTGATCAGGGGGGGGGGGGATTGAACCACATAGAAAAAATAGAATCTCCCCTCCCCCTTCAAAATGTACTCCTAATCCATGACCACAGGCACATGTCAAATTGTTTATTCCGAGATAATGCGATTGTTAACTAATCTTTTCCTTTATCTTATCGAGATAATTTTATTTCGCGTGCTATTTGTGGCACTTGGCCAAATTGTTAGACCGTTATCGGGGAGGGGGATATTAGCAATATATAGACCATTTCGTTACAGTGTGTAAATTTACAGGCTCATCGGATAAACTAATTACTTGGTTAGTATATATAGAAGAGTAGACAAATATTAAATTATTATTTCTTTCAAATTCGATATTACTAGAGAGTATAGCTTGAGAGTACACTCCATCATGAACTCCTATATATAACAATGACAAATTTAAAATTCGAATTTTGAAGAAGAAAAAAATGTTCATGTTTTTTCTAATTGTTGGAGAGAATAGTGTTAACCTTGACGGGGACCATGATTTAGATCTAAAGGCCTGTCTTTTCTCTGTTGAAAAATTCGTAAAATATACGGACTTTCTTTGTGATTGCTTGGACAATCAGTAAAGACAACATGTCCGAAAATTTGCTCACCCCCTACCCCCTGCCCTCGTTTAAAAATTGCTAAGTGACAACCCTAAAACGTATTTGTTTTTGTTTCTTCTTTTTTAAATTTTGTTATCTTGGACAAATATTTAGCAAAACATTTCTGTACTAGGCCTTTTGTAGAAAACAATGATAATAAATACAATAGTTAGGTCAATATAAGCCTTGGCAAATGATGTAGTTATTGTCATTATTCAAAATTGTTCTGGATCATTCAATGGAAGCAAACCAACAATGATGGCAACGTTTTGCTCTCATGATTTATATCTCTAACTTACTTTGACGATAAACTCTAACTTACATCTGGAAAAAACACATAATCATCCCGCACTCCACGTGATGTTGTTATGAAACCCTGTTATCAAGGTCCTACTTATACAATCATTATTATCTTGAATAATTATCTAATTACACTATTGTTTTTTGAATATGTAAACATTGGCACATTGCCAAAGTGCCGTGCTATTTATAGTAAACTTTTCAACTTCAATGTTATGGTTTAATTATTTGCTGATCTAAAATTAGAACCACAACATTCTTCTTATCATTTTTTCTATTGGCGGCTTCCCAAAATAAGTCCTAGAGAAAGTGCGATGGCTCAGTGGTAGAGCAGTGGTTTCTTAACCAGGAGATCCCGAGTTCGAAACCAATTCGAAGCGCTAGTGACCGTTGGTATTAAGGCATCCATCCTCATTACCAAGTCCATCGGAGAGGACTTAAAGCCGTAGGTCCCCTGCTTACTTACTTACAAGGATACAATTGCTTTCTAAGCAGTCAGGTAAAACAAACAAGACCTCGACACAAACGAACTGCAATGTCATATCCAGATTGTTGCCCATAACGATATCATCATTTGAATACTGAAAGGGATGTTTGCTATAATAACTTTGTATTTTCGAGTTAAAGCGGTAAAAAAGCTTACAGTTTTGTATTGGTTAAAACAGATAATTTTACAATGTGTTTTATGTTTGCATACATTTTTTTCTTCTCCAATTCTTCCACATTTGATTAAACAGGAATCATTAATTTTCCGTACATTTCAGAAAATGTTGATTTCGTCAGCTTTTACGATGTTAAATTGATAGGAAATGTTTTGGGCCAGGCACGCAGTTTGAGTTCTCTCCATTAGTTAATCATTTTGAATATTGATTGATCATCCACTGTGATACGATGGAGATACGTGCTTATATTTGTTCCTATCTTGAATACAGATGCCAAATCGGCAATCAAGTTTTAAATGATCGTAATATTTCCTTAATTAGATCTTGTTTCCAAATTGTCAGCCTTCATCTATTCAATCGTCATATTTCTTTATTCCTGTTTCTCTGATTTGATATTTATTTCAGATACCAACTTCCAAATTCTAATACCATGTTTATGATATTCATATTTCTTTATTCCCATTAAATCTTTAATTCAGATACCAGCTTCCAAATCGGCAACCATGTCACTCCGTCAGCTAGGTCGCACCGTCTGCCGCCAGAAGGAGGTCAAATACGATCTCACCTCGACACCTCTTGATCGATGTCTCTCCACGACCGATCTATCGCTGATTGCTATCGGCTGTATGCTGGGGTCCGGTGTCTACGTATTAACAGGAGAGGTGAATTTATAAAAGAAATAAACTTTAGTGTGATCTAACAACATCATCTCTCTCTTCATTGGATACTTAAGTTTCCTACCTTTGTGAAACTTAAAGCCCATCTGTACTAGATTACAAGGGGGACTACAGGTGGTTATCTCATCAGATAAACTCTCAATTAATATGTATTGTTTGCTATATCGAGGGCGCAAGTAGCTATAAGTAGTACAGCGGGGGCTTTAAAACAAAAAAATATTGATAGAGTACTGGGTACTCCATGTTTGACCTTGTAGAAAGGGTGGTAGCTATAACAAACCGATAAAGTAGAACTACAGTCAAATCTATCTACTAAGGTCACCAAAGGTAAACATAAAAGGTGATCACTGTAGGCAGGTTGTCTTTTTAGACAGTTTCTACAACACACATTTCTATCTCGAGAGTCGACAGAGACAACATGTGTGGCCACTATAGAGAGGCGGCCACTAAGACAGGTTTGGTTGTATTTTGTAATCTATAAACAGGATGAAAGTCTAAATGAGCCATAGAGGACATGGATGAAGAAATATCTAAGGCATCTAAAAATAGGGGGTCAAATAAAATGGAAACCTTATATTTTCAACTTGAAGGGCATGTAGCTACCTGCCTGAGGGACGTTCATTTTGTTATTTTGTTAAACGAGGTTGCAAGCGCCCACGGTGCCCCCCCCCCTCTCTCTCTCTCTCTCTCTCTTGTTTCCTTAATCCATAATAAGTCGGAAGACTCGGAATACAATGTCCAGAAGTACCCAACCTTTAAAGATTTGTAAAGAGAATTGCTTTTTCAAATGCTTTTGCCAACTTGTGTCTGTTTTTATCATCATCGCAATCTCTTAGATTCGCCACGTGAATGTGTCATTATATTACGATTGAAGAAGAAATAGCTTGACAGAATGCATGGGAGTACATAATCCTGATCAACTTTAATCCGACCTTTTTCTTATGTTTGACTCTAGATCGCAGGTGAAATGGCTGGGCCTGCTGGCGCCCTCTCCTTCCTAATTTCCGGCATCGTCGCTCTCATGGCTGCCATGTGCTACATGGAATGTGCCACACGCCTCCCCGAGACGGGGGCGTCCTACCTCTACGCCTATGTGGCCTTCGGCGAGATCTTCGCCTTTATGATCGGCTGGAACGCCATCATTCTCAGGGTCATGTCCGTCGCTCTCGTCTCGCGAGGCTGGAGCGCGTACTTCGACAACATCATCAACGGCGTGGTCGGAAACTGGACGGTGAATGTGGTCCTGGATGGTGAGCCATGGGACTCGCCCTTGCTTGGAGACTACCCGGACTTCCTCGCGGCAGGAATCGCGATTCTGGTGTGTATCCTGGTCGCCGTTGGCACGTCGATCTCCGCCCGCGCCAACGGTTTCTTCGTCACCATCAATGTCATCACCGTCGCTCTCGTGCTCGTCACTGGGTTCGTCTACGCCGACTTCGATAACCTGACGCATCCCGATGGCTACTTCCCGTTTGGCTTCAACGGCGTTTTGACCGGTTCCGCCGCTTGTTTTACAGGGTACTGCGGTTTTGAAGCGGTTGCCTTCAGCGCCGAGGAGGCCAAGAATCCCAGCCGAGGGCTTCCCATCGGTGTCATCATCGGTTTCTTGGTGTCCATGCTGTGCTATTCCGGCGTCCTCATCTCCCTGACGGCAATGGTACCGTACACTGATATCAACATCGAATCTCCCTTCGTAGCTGCCTTCGGCGCGGTAGGTGCTAACTGGATGCAGTATGTTGTAGCGATAGGGGCACTTTGCAGCATGACCGGGTGCATTATTAACTGCGTCTTCTGCGTCGCTCGATGCATATACGCTCTTGCTCGTGACGGGCTTCTGCCAAAGTTCCTAGGGTACACCCATCCTGTGTCAAAGACACCCGTAACTTCAACCCTCTTTGGTGGAAGCTTGTCCGTCATCATCACCATCTTCGTCGACTTCGTCTCCCTGATCCAGTTTCTGTCTCTCGTGGCCTTTATCGAGTTCATCATCGTTATCGCCTCCTCGATCATGCTGCGATACCGCCCTGACCAGGAAGTCAGCGGTTATGCTTCCTTAGGCGGCAGCAACACTCACGTAACCGAAGTCAGTCACGTCCCGAACGTCAGCATCCAGAACGGCAGCATCCAGAATGGCAGTGCTCAGAATGGTGGCACTCCCAACGGGAAGAAGGGTCACCGTCACCATCGAAACAGCGCTGAGACCACGCCCTTACTGAACAACAACGGGAAACCGCATCCGAAGAGGCGCTACCAAGACAGCAACCTGAAGAGGATGGGCGCTCCCAACCCTGGTCCAACTGTTGCTCTCTGCATCATCGGCTTCATTTGCTTCTCCTGTGGCAGCATGGTGCTCTTAACGTACTTTTTTGACGAGATCAGCTCTGGGAGCTTACCCTACATCCTCAGTCTGGCCGCGCTTCTTCTGCTCACACTCATCGTCTGCATACCTTTGATCAGACTGCCTCAATATGGGGATAATATTCCATTCAAGGTACGTTTGAATTTCGACCCATCCTTAATTTGATAGAAATTCGCAACATCATATAAGAATAATATATTTTTCGCTTTTCTCAACAAAGTTAATTGCGTGACCATTTCAGATGTGTATTGCGTATTAACAAATAACAGAAAATATTCTCTATAAACGCTTCAAAACTATTTTGATGATGCTGATCGCGTTTGGAAAAAAAATAGATGATTTTTTAAAACTGATGCATTCTGCAATTGCTTTGACTAATGTCACATTTGCAGTATATAAATATGTAATAGTTGATTACGATATGAGCGATGAATTTATTGCCGCTGGTTATTACTTGGTTGCCGCACACTTGTTAATATTCATTAATTAATGTTATACTTTTCTGTCATACGTAGCATATTTCTCCCAATTTAGTGTTGTTCTTCCACGAGGTCCTATGTTATTTTTTATTTAAACAAAAACAATAGCAATATTAATGAAAGTCCTAATAAAAAGACAAGTTTTCTTTTCCTTTTAACCCTTTTTCATCCTTCAGGTGCCGCTCATGCCTTACTTTCCTCTCGTGAGTCTCCTTGCCAATGTATTTCTCATGGTTCAGTTCAGCGCCATCGCTTTCATCGAATTCGGCATCTGGACAGCCATTGGTAAGTGATGTGATGCCATGAAGATGACGTCACAGGGGTGACAAAGACATTGACAATGTATTTTTACAGGGAAATCCGACCTTGATAGCAAACTACTTTAAAGGCAAGCAGAAAATCAAAGAAGTAGACTGGTTAAAGTTTTAATGAAATCGGTAAAGAAAGAAAAAGTTATGAGTTGTTATCACTATAGGTACAGGCTATTCGAATTGGCTGAATCGGTAATGTCCCTGCGATGCAGACGGTGACGGACAACGTTCCCATTTCTCCCAACGCACAGAGCGACTAAGATTTAAATTATTAAAAAAATGTAAAACTTAGAAAGATCTTTTCTCTTTAGAGGACCTATAATGATATGATATAATAATATGTGTTGAGTAGTTCTCAAATGGAGAGGGCACTCTGGAGAAAAAACGTAAACCAATGATATTTCTCTAAACGACGAACGGGAGAGTTATCCACGACTACATCACAATCCACTAACCAAACTGCCAATTTGAGCTTCGCATATATATAGACTTAGTGATACTTACCTATTATTGGTCCGATTCACTTAAACCTTTCGCCATTATGTTTATCTTATTTTTCTGCTTTCGTACAAAATATTTTTTTTTTACAAGGGTTGGATTAATTGCCCGTTAATGATATCGACGGTGTTTTTAATATTCTGGTCCTAATGTCAGCCCAATGTTGTTGATGTCAATGTGCTGTTGTTGCTGATAGCAGTTATTCGTCATCCCATCAGTTGAAAAGGTGCTTTGTTTTAGGTTGCTTTGTCAGATGATGGCCCGACATTATTTTTTCCCGATGGTATTTGATCCGGGTTTCATTTCGTAAAATGTACATGTATAGGATTAGGATTATGATTGCAATTGAGTTTTAGGTTTGGTTAAGTGTTGGGGTAGGATTAGGTGTAGGGCCTAGTAGTCCAGGGTTGGAAAAAATGTTAGGGTTGTTATCCATTGCTTTAAAATTATATCCAGAGCATTGTGTTCGTCAGTTTGGTATACAATCACTTTACAGGTGCATTCTGTTGTTTGTTCAATTAAAGACATTGTTGTTGTTGTTATTGTTGCTACTGATGTTGCTAATTTTAATTTTGTTTACGTGTGGGAGCTTCATCAATGCCATGATTTCCCCTTTTCTCACTTTTAACCTATATAAATATTTATATCTTTATATTCAGATTATCTTTTCTGTTTTACTTTTCGTAGGATTGGTTGTCTATTTCATCTACGGCGTTAGCCACAGTCACGAATCCGAAAAGTACAAGCATCGGATATCGAAACATGTCGACATACAACCGAATGGTGACGTCACCGAGTCCATACCGATTACGAGGGACTTCGAGACTTCGGATCACGGGTCACGGAGGTCAAGTGCTGACAACAACGCGTACTGGGCAGGCGATAGTCTGGTGACGTCATCAGAGACGAGTTTTGCCGGTTGTTGACGAGATCGAGAGTGAAGTTGACGAATCTTGATTTTCGGCATATTCCGGAGATTGTTTGGTTATGCAAGCGTGCGTTATACAACGTCGACGCTATCAATGAAAGTTGCTTGTATCATTGAAGAAATTATTTGAGATGTTTGTGCTCCCATTTTTATATTGATTGTACTTAACAGATGTGAAAAAAGATGCAAAAAACCGAAGGAAGTACTTTTTGAACTTGGATAATTCCTTTGTATGTATTTCATTAATACTTTAAGAAATGTATTCTGTCAAAAACATAATGATCGAAACTATCATAGATGTTCAAAGAATGACATATTCGAATTATTGGATTATTGTCAATTCTATAATTGCAAATTATGGTCATATATTGAATTGTTTATCTTATAAACATCATATCATAGTGGGGTACAGCATCTAAAATATATTTTTTCTTAGAATGCACTGCAAACGTTGATCATGTACTCAAACGGCAAAGTCATACGAAAAAATAAGTTTGTACCTTGACTCGATATAAAACTGTTCTTACGTCACCTTTTAGGTTGAAAAAACATAATGTACTTCGACAGTAACCCCATTACTATATTGCCTTTTGGTGACACACTCAGCTATATGTTTATTAGCATGAACAGTTTTGTTAGGGCTCCCCCCCCCCCCCCAAAAAAAAAACTTTTGAAACGTTCCGTCGTTATGTTGAGATCGAGGTTTTCCGTATGATTGGATGCCATTAGTTCCGCTGTTATCTCCTAGCTATTTAGAGTAACTTCGTTATTTCTCATGAAATCAAAATATGTTTAATCGAGTGAACTAAATACCCCCCCCCCCCCCACTCAGTGTTATTTAGGGTACGCATATGCTCGTGCCCTCTTTTTGAAAACACCCCTTATCTGAGGACTGCCAACATTTCCGAACCCCCCTTTCGCGGGCTTTTTGCGGGCTTTTCCTGCTTTGGAGACCCCCCTAAATCAGGAAAAATGCTCAATGTACCCCCCTAAATTCGGAATAATTTCTCAGGAGTCCAAACAGATGAGAGAAAAAAGAAAAAACACCCCCTTTTTAAAGAAATCTCCGGGTGAAAAGTTAATACACCCCTTTTTTTTTACAATTCTCGGGCCGGACTTTGTCGCACGAAAAGTACCCCTTTACCGGACATTTTGGTAACACGCATGGGATCATTTTGACCCCGGAGTGGGGGGGGGGGGGGGCGGGACTAAATACTAAAAGTAAGCAAAATCATGACATTTGCTGTCCATAATTCTGTTAGACTTATCATACGCGTATATACAGCGTAATAAAAGCATCATGAACAACGAATATTATATTTAAGAATACTGCAGTATATGGGGAGGTAAATATCATGAATATGTGAATTCTATTATGATCATCATTATTCCAATTTGTAATCGAGTTTATTAATATGAATTTTTGAAATGAAATATAATGTGCACTAAATTGTTTTCACTATCCATTCGCTCTTTTTATGTTTTATTATTTACCACTCTCTATATAAGCATGTCGTCTTGTGTGCAATACGTTAACATTCTTTGTTTGAAGAATTAAAGGCATTAATTGGAAATTGTAGACTGGATGATTGTCAGAATGTTTTTTGTATTCAACATTGTATGCCTACTTTTTATCGCATAACTGATATCAATCATAATTTCGTATATTTAATTGCCCTGCGTCAGTGTGAAAGTATACCAAATGTGATCATTATTAGAGTTACAGTTGAATATTCAAATTAGAATATCGCATGTAGAACTATAGTATGATATATACATACATGTACTTCCATATGAGTGTTACCATGCTACACGAATACTCCCTAAGATGACATATGTGTGTAAAACTGTGTAACTTGGGTGTTTAGAGACGTGTATCAATCAGATATAATTATTTACATATAGGGACCGACCTTTAACGTCAACATCCGAAAGACCTGAATCTGTCTCGAACCGGGGTCACCTGAGCTAGTTTGTAGGCGAAGACAGAGAGCTGACCGCACCACATATATTACCGCTAGACCAACTCACATCTTCTGTTTGGCATCAGTTCAGCTCAGTTTATTGAATGTCATCTTTAAAACCATTTTTATTGAATGTCATCTTTAAAAACATTTTTACAAAGTAAAAACATGCAATTTCATGTAAAGTATAATACATAAATTGGGATAGCATATATACATGTGTGTGAATTAATACAAAACAGAATAAGGCACAGCTGTAAAAAAACAAACAAACAAGTTGATACTTTTCCCCCGAGTAGTTGTCATACATACATTATATTTGTCAATATATTGCTGTATAAAAAGAAATGCAGCTGTTTGATATTCTTAAAGATTATGTAAAGACGATGTATGAAAGTAAAAAGAGAAGACACACACACAGTATATTTTATATTTTTTGGTGAATAACAAATGTGTATACTCCGTGGTTATAACAATTTTTTCCCTTTATCTCTCTGGTGGGAATTTCTTATAGATAAATGCAATGTCGACCCAAAATTCTAGCTGAAATAAAACGTGACCGTGGGAATTTTTTCCTAAATATACAATGATCTTATCGTGAATTACATCTGTCTCTCGAAATCAGATGTGTAAACAAAACAAAATAAATACGTGAAATTTCAAAGCTCGGCTACGTCTTATGGTTCTTTCTTCAGTACTGTACTAGATCATTTATATTTTGTCTTTTCCCTTCAGAGCAGCATACACTGTTTCGATTCATTAGCCCTAAATGTGAAATGTCGTCACCCTTTCTTTTTCCCCTTCTCCTCTTCTCTCTCTCTCCCTCTCTGTTCCTAATTTTCTTCTCCCTCTTTCAATCTCCTCTCCTCGACTTTTTTCTCCCGATCTCTTTCTAAATAGAAATTCAGGGGAGTGTTTCACAAAGATCGATTTTAAGTTGGACTTAACTATGGCAAGCCGTTCATGCTACTGTTTTCTCTAACCATTCACTGGCTTTGGTTTCTCAAGGGACGTACCAATCAGGGTCACAAATCTACAGAATTGACAATATTTGATAGTTCATTATTGAAGGAAAAAATTATTATCTTAAGATCATGGCGAGAGCAACCAGTGGCATAAATGGCCTGTCACAGTAAGTCCAACTTAAAGTCGATCTTAGTCTTTGTGAAACACTCCCCTGGTCAACATCCTCCTGTAGCCTATAATCTCTCTCTGGGCGCGTTCATGCTTGATTTTGAAGGCAGAATGAGCGATTTGTAACGCTCATCGTAAACGCTCATCGTAATCGCAGTTCCACGGTGCACTGTTCATGCTCACTTCTCCAGGCAATTCTCCTTGGGTGGCCTTCAGCTGGATTCGCAAACCTGTGTGCGCATGCTACGTAGACCCACTAGAGGTCAGTGCGTTGACCCCATTTAAACGCGTTTACAAATTGTAAACGCATCTTTTTGTGAGTTTACGATCGGCGATCGTGATCGCCGTTTTTCGGTGATTCTACAAAAGTGAGCATGAACGCAAGCGTGTTTTAAACTAAACGCGTAACAGATGCCTGATTCTGGCCGTCAAAATCAAGCATGAACGCGCCCTCTGTCTCTCTTCCTCCTCACTTTCTCCTTTTCATTCCATCAGTCTCATCTCGAGTCCTGTACAAATATGAATCAATAACACGACAAGGCGTTTTGAGTTTTATATCATATAGTATTTTAATATTCGTTCATATTTATTATGGATAGCATAGAGAAAGAGAGAGATAATATATATATATATATATATATATATATATATATTATAGTATAGAGATATAATACATATATCTCTCTCGCTGTACAAATAAAGTTCAAATCGTTAGTTATAAAAGACTTAAGGCCCTTCTCAACAAACGGTATAAAACATGATGAACACTAAAAATGGTAGCTGTACAGTGCGTCCCAGAAAAAACGAAACCGAGAATTGTCGATGTTTTATCATAACTTATTCACATTTATAATTAATAAATGACACACGTTTGGAAAGCTTAGATCCTCCTCTTTCATTTGATGCCACTTATGATGCATAATTCACGCATGAGTGATTAAAATGAATTTGAAGAGAGGAAACTAAAACGATTTTTTGGTTTCCTCTCTTCAAATTTATTTTAATCACTCATGCATGAAATTTGCATCATATAAGTGGCATCAAATAAAAGAGGGGGATCTAAGCTTTCCAAATATGTGTCATTTATCAATTATAATTGTGATTAAGTTATGATAAAACATCGATAATTCTCGGTTTCGTTTTTTCTGGGACGCACTGTATAATAACAATAATTATATCTTTTTATAGCGCACATAATTATCAACCACGTAAGGTGCTCAAGGTGCTCCAATATTACCCTGGCTCTGCTAAGCTACCGTTTTCGGTGATTGCAGCATAGAAATCCTTCCTTCCTTAGCAGTACACATTTAACACCTGGGTGGAGAGTGACAATCGTAGGTTAATGGTTTGCCAAATGACATTATAGTGCCGTGGTGGGACTCGAACCGGTAGTACTTGAAATTTAGTACACAAGTCCACATATATTCTTACTATATATATATATTAGACATAATTCATTACTTTATAAGTAAGAGTTGCATTCACATATTGTTCAAATTTATATTCTTACTTAAACACAGCATTCCCTATTCAATTCTGGTATTCAAAATACTATACACATTCAAAACAACATTTGAAATATAGCATTACAAAAACAAATCCTCTCTTTAGGACAGGCACATAACTGATGACAAATTGTTCAAAATCTTTAAAGGGAAGGTTATGGTTGTTTAAAATTTCATGAATTATACACACTATGTACAGAGTGAAACTTAACAGTACCAAAATATACATGTACATGCATTGGCGTATAGCGAGGGGGGGGGGGTGTTTGGGGAATTCAAACACCCCCCTTCCTTGGTAAAAGGGGGTGCTTTAGAATTTGGTTAAGCCCACTTTCAAGGTATGATTTCCAAGGTATGATTTAAACCTAAAACTACAAGTCATAATTAAGAGGAATACCTATTGGCAATGATATGCACAAACAATTAAACATCAGTTGGGTTTAGGCTTTTGTTTAAAATCAGGTAACAATCTGAGGTTTAAAAGTTATTCACTTGATAAATGTGGTACACGACTGATATTTGTGATTGATTGCATTGATCACATGTGCAATCAATTGAAGAAAAAAAATCAATCGAACAATCAGTTGCTAAGCGTTGTGATTTGGGGCCCAGGTTGGGCGTAACTAAATTGGTAGAATACGCATCTTTGATCAAGGTAAATATTCCATAGTACTTTTGACATATTACCACTGCACCATGCTATACTTCTTACATAAATTTTGTAATGCTTTATAAATGTTTTTAAGATGGAGATGTGGAAATAAAAAATTTCTAATCAAAAATTCAAATTTGCATTGATTGATTAACCCTTTTGGCTTTTGATCCTGCCGTGAGAAGTGTGGCAAAAGGAACACATGTTATCGTGCATGATTAATGATTGTTTTACCTGACTGCTAAGAAAGCAAGTATATGCTTGCAAGTAAGCAACAAGGGCACCGACGGTTTTAAGTCCTCTCTGAGGGACTTGGTAATGAGGATTATTGCCTGACCAAAGGGCACAAGCGCATTGACTTGGGTTCGAACCCGGGGCCTCTCGGTTACGCGACCACTGCTCTACCACTGAGCCATCGCGCCTCCCTGAATGGATTTAACATGTTGCAATCTTCACGCTATCACAGTAAATAAATGCATTATTCAATCAATAATTAATCCTTTCACGACAATCATGCCACATTTGAGGAGGCGCGATAGCTCAGTTGGTAGAGCAGTGGTCTCGTAATCCGGGTTCGAAACCAAGTCGATGCGCTTATAGTGCCCTTTAGTAAGGCATTAATCCTCATTACCAGGTCCCTCGGAGAGGACCTAAAGCCGTCGGCCGTTGCTTACTAACAAGCATTTATGCTTTCTTAGTAGTCAGGTAAAATAACCACCAACACATTTTGTGGTTTGGCTCAATAACTTTGGAATCAGAGCCCTAAAAATTGGCCACATGCATGAGTAGAAAGTGCAAAATTTCTGAACACACAGCATCCATTTTTGTTTCATGACTATACTACATTCGATGCTAGGAACTTTTTTAAATGAAAATAATCTTTATAATCCTTAAATTGGCTACATGTTAACAGTTTCAAGGTCATTGTTTTTCTATCAAAATTGGTGATTTTCAACTTTTTGACAACATTCTTGACCATGTATTTTGTTATCAGAGATACCACGTATTGTTTAAACAATGTAGCAATGCCAACAAAATATATAATTGTTGCCAATTTGAAGAACAATATGTGATCAATTTAACCCTAAATAAAAAAAACCTTTCCTGAAAGGGTTAACAACAAGTATAAAAGGTCACACAGAACACTTCCAGCATGGATGGTATTGAATAAAAATAATAAAATATACAAGTGTACAGACTTGAAAGACTATGTAAAGCTCATACAAGCTTACTTGAATTCAAATCCAATAATTATAAGGGGAAGTAATACATGTATATGGAAGAGAGTTTCATAAATAAGAGCACACTTGAATTTTACCAATCACCTAACTAATGTTTGTACAGATAGAATGTATAAAAATCAACCAAAACAAACTTCATCCAACATTTTTGGGGGCTACCCGATAAGAAGTATGAAGGACATATAAAATATCATAAAACTGCACACACAGAACCAAATTCGGAATTCGGTTCAATACAGGCCCTCTATTATGCAAGCATGTACAGGTACGTCAAGTAGTCTACAAAAAGTTTGCTATAATGTTAAGAGTATATTTAGATTTGCAAATCTCTTTGACTTTAAGTAATTGGAATACTTTAAATGCATAGTACTATCACACTTAATAGTACTGCATCTTTCACGCCCCAATCATTTAGATTCATTTCATTCTATGAGTTGTATTTCTGACATGGTAATCAAATGAATTCAAAGGTAATTCTTTAAAATTGTAAAAACTTCAAGATATACCAGCTGATCTGATATAGAAACATCTCTCCAGACAAAGGCATAAAAGACAAATAAAAAAAACAGAAAACCCAATAAATATCCATTTTCGTTCTAAGCATGTATAAATACTGAAAGGTTTATACTTTAGTGTATAATTTGCAAATGATGCTGTTAATTATTCCTTGGACGATAGTAGCATAATTTTGTTTAAATCTCTAAAATAGCTGGAACTACAAGATAAACCAACAGATATCATATACCAACTCCTCTACAGACAGAGGTAAGAAATTGAATACTGGTAGAAAAATAAAACCCCACTGAATTACTAATGTCATTTAAAACTTTGAAATCCATGTCGGATTACCTAGGGTATAATTTGCAAATAATACTGTTTATTACATGCACCTGCTACATGATTTTATACATGCATGTACGTGTAGTAAAAAAAGTTTCATAGAATTATTTTTTCATAAATTTTACACCATTATTGTATACATATATATATTCATATCATTTATTTAAGTATTATACGTGGCAATCTTGTGCAGAACTTTACGGCAAGATATATCTAACAATCAGAAAATCAAAATGAAAACATTAAATGGAATCATTCCTAAATCACAAATTTATCTAACAGATATTGCAATGATGATCATCATCGACTGCAGCACAATGGCTTTTTTGTACACATATGTGGCATTTGTATTATACAGTGACACCACTCCATCAAGGCAACACATGAAAAGTGGTCTTTACAGGCAGGCGGTCTTTATGTTACAGGTTCCTATAGTTACAGGTTTCAATGAAAAACCATATTCAGGGAAAATAAAAAATATAGTGTTATAGACAGGTGGTCGTTAAAACAGGTTTGAGAATAGAACTAAATAACCAGTGGAGTTGAAAACTACTCAAACTCAAATTCTAGATTATCATCACCATAAAAGTGCCTATATAATCAGTAAACCTTAGTACTATCATCAAATGGCGTCTTTACAGACAAGGAATAGGCCTACGTTTGGCTCTCTGCTTTACGCAGTTTTGAAAGTCCACATTGCGACTGAGCAAGAACATTTCTTTTCTCAAAAATCATCCACAACTTAATCACGCTTTCAGAGCAATTTGAATATAATTCGCCTTGTACTGATTTCTTCATGGCAATTACAAAGTGAGTTGCATGTATAATCTTTCTTTATGGTCGACAATTCTTCAGGGATGGGGGAGAGGAGAGAAATTTCCCCCAGCATTGCCCCCTCCTTCAAATACACTTGTGCAGACAACGATGACCAATCACAGGTGCTCCAAGATTTTCTCCATCGACAATCTCTCTTGTCTTTAATTCATCAAAGACATAGTGTTATGGTTAGGGCTACAATTGGGATTCACGTCATGTTTAGGGTTAGGGTTAGGATCAAGGTTAGGTATAGCGTTTGGTCCGGGGTTGAATTTAGGAATTCGGTTAGAGTAGGAGCAAAAGTAACCTGAGCATATATCCTACATCCGTTAATACATCTTAATTTTCTGGAGGATGGGTTGTCTACACATAGGACAATCCTCGATGCAACAGGTGCAATCTTCACAGAGCGAATGTCCGCACATGAAGACAAACTCCCTCTTTTGTTAATACATCTTAATTTTCTTGAGAATGGGTTGTCTACAGTAAGGACAATCGTTGAGGGAATCAGTGCAAGTTTCACACAGCGAATGTCCGCACATAAAGACAAACTCCCTCTTTCGATCAATACAGACCGGGCACAGCACCTCTTCCTCCAGCTTTTGGTTCTTCTGGATGAGAATGGACTTGGTCAACTCGGAATCGGAATCGGCATCGGCTGGCTCAAAGATCTTTCTTCTTGCCCCTGATTGATGATCTCCCGTTGCGTCCTGTGTAGCAACAGCTGTGAAACAAAATACAATGTTTTACAATGTTAAATGTTAAGATGCACAGCCCTATGTGTTATTAGTGTCTGTGATATGGTGTAATATTGAAGCCCTAACAAAATTGCGCTTCAAAAATGATCAAGAAGTGCCTCAAAAAAGTAAAAATCTTTGAGTGACCGGTTTTACCATACTCGTTTCCCCCAATAGACTGTAGTGTTATGAAAACCGTTTGGCAAACGGTTTTCAAAATTTGTAATTCCAATCATAAATATCTTGATAATCAGACAGGCGATTGACTTGTAAAAGTCATGGAGTTCCTGACTGACCTAAAGGTTAATAATTATCATTGCAGCATGAGCTAAATCCAGGATTTTGTTTCAGAATCTGAGACAAAGTTACCCAATCCCCCATCCTGTTCATGTTATCTGTGATGAATGTCAAGGCAGAATTTCTACAGATACATGTACTTCATTGCATTCAAAGAAATATGAATTCACTTGATACTAACGATAGATTAAAGGGCAATCTGTACCATGTAATAGGTTCATATTTACGAAAGCAGAAAAATAAGATAAACAGAATGGCAAAAGTTTGAAATAAATTGGACCAGTAATAAGGGGGGGGGGTCTAAAATTGCTTGGGGCAAATTTAAGGGTCGCTAAAGGTTGCCAGATTGGGTTTTCTGGTGCCCTTTTCCCTGGATATGCCAATGCTATGTGTGTTTAATACTGAAGTAAATACCTCGATCTGCTCTTGGTGTTTGTTGACCCATGCCAGGATCGTTGTTGGAAAATGCAGCAAATCGCCGGTTCGGTTGCAAAACACTCTCTATGGGTTTCTGATTTTACAAAGGGAAAACAAAAATAAATTAGAATTTTCCTCGGAGAAAATCACACTTATAATAATATCTTATGTTTGAGATGGCATATTTCATCTGCAACCTCTAAAATTTTAGAGACAAAAAAATTGGATTCACAACAATTTGTGTGCTTGATACTTTTTAGCAAGTCCATAACCACTATACCATTTTGTGCTAGTTATATTTGTATTTGAAGTGATGTTATAGTGCACATATATGCACTCCAAGGTTGCGTATTGTCTGATGCTGTGGTAGTAAGACTAAGTCAATTTTCTGTACTTTAAATGTGTGAAACTTTTGTAGCTATCTAATAGTCAGGGGTGATAGTGAGCACTAAAAAAAAAAAAAGTTTTTTTGTTTTCCCCTCAACCACACCCCCCCCCCCCCCCTGAGTAAAAAAAAAAAAGAGGATTCGCGGAAAAAATGGCATCTAGCAACATTCCCCCCTTTTGAGTAAGAAAATTGGGACAAAATTTGGGGAAAAATAGGGCAAAAATAGGGAGAAAAAAAACATCTGGATTTTTTTTTTTTTTTTTAAATCGAGAAGAAAAAAAAAAAAAAATCGGGAAACCGATTTAAATCGGGTTTTTATCAGGCCTGAATAGTGTTCTAGATTGGATGCACAACCAGTTTCAAACTTGCTCAACTGAAGGTTTTGAGCAGAGTCAGTTACAAATCTTGAATTGTGCTCATAAACAGAGGGGCAGTTGTTGAACAACTCACGATATGTCATATAACAATTTACCAGACCAATTGGAAACTGGGTAAGAATTTTATGAAGTTAATGAGCCAGATTAGACCAGGATTTGGAGGTGCAGGCTACATGTACAGCCCAACTATATGCACTCCCTCTATCTCACCTATTGACTGAAGTGATTTCTGTACTTGCCTTGCATTCATGACAAAGCTTGAAGCATTCAGAGCATCTATGACAAACAATGGTGTGGCCACAGGGTTTAAACTGGGCATCAGCAATGCCACCACAGGCAATTAGCCGACATCGGGCCAGGTTGGGAATCAGGCTGGTAGGAGTAGGAGTAGACTGGATCGAGATGGGGGAGGGCGTGGTATCTGGAGCTTGCTGATGATGCGGAAACCGTTGCCGTTGCGGGCTCAGGTCAAGCTGCGGGAGGGGAGGACGGAGGGGCGAAGGAGCATCGTGAGGGTCTTGGGGTGAGGCTGGATTGAACTGACGTTCTTTCCTCGTTTGCATAGCAATATGATCTAGATCCCGTCCTGAGATACGGGTTTGGTTATCATCTCGTGCAGTTGTAACTGCATCAGGTCCACGAAGTGCTTGCTGATGGGCCAAGAGTTGCCTCTCTTGCTTGGCGATGTGTTCTGGTATTTGGCCACGGTTATCTTCAGGATGGTGGGCTGCTGAATCCCCTGCAGGATCAGCAATCGGTTTATCTCCTGATGCTGTTTGGCGACCCTCCAAAATCTGCATCTCCTCCATCTGTTGCTTAGCGATGTGAGCTGGAGTCTGGCTACCATCATCGTCACCATGACGATGTGAGGGATCAACGGTAACATCCTCACTTCCAGGCATACTCCAAGATGAGAGAGAGAGAGAGGTGGAAGGGGTAGTGATTTTACTTTGAGGTTAATAAGCTCCAATCTACCGTAGACAACGGGCATTTCATGTACATGGATATTTATCTCTCTCGAGGTAACGCGTTATGACGCTTTATTTTTTAGAACGCAACTTGTATTAATGGAAGTTAACCAGGAAAACGTAATTTCATCCAAAATGATGGTACACAGTTCATATCGATGTAGGTCGAGCCTATATAAATGCACTATAGATAAGAAACATGTTGTATGTATAAACATGAACAACAAGCCTGATTACCAATACATGCTTTTAATTTAATACTAAGTTCTTCTGTTCACTTTCCCACACAATAACTAGGTTAACATATAAGTGTATCATGCTTTGTGTAAATAGTAAACACCATTCAGGATCGTCTCTACATTTTAAGCGGGGGGGGGGGGGGGTGCTGGAGGTTGTGCTCCCCGTCAAAAATTGTTTTAGTAACGCCATTATTGTTGGAAAATTCGTCATGGAAAAAAGTCACCTCCCTCTTTTCTTCAACGATCCGGAAAATAATGCAGTATGCAGTAACTATTCCGAATTGGGGCCGGGGGAGGGGGATCGGGGGGGGGGGGGGGGGAGGGTGAACCACTTAAAAAAAATATACTCCCCTCCCCCCCCCCTCAAAATGTACGCCTAATCCATGAACACAGGCACATGTCAAATTGTTTATCCCGAGATAATGCGATAGTTATCTAATCTTTTCCTCTATATCTTATAAAGATAATTTTATTTTGCGTGGTATTTATGGCACTCGGCCAAATTGGAAGGGGAGATTAGCAATATCTAGACCTTTTTGTAACGGTGTGTTTATATGCAGGCTCATCGGATACACTAATTACATGATAACCTAATGAAGCATGTCTAGAAGAGTAGAAAATTATTATTTGTTATTATTTCTTTCAAATTTGATATTAATCGAGAGTACAGGTTGAGAGAACACTCCATCATAAATTCACGTAACGATGGCCAAATTTATAATGACTAAGAGTCGAATTTTGAAGAAACAATAGAGCTTATGCAGAGAGGAAAATGTATTTTTCTTTCTGATGTGTAAAAAACACAATCATGTTAATGCGGTCCTAACAATTATTCTGTAGTAACCTAGACCAAAACACCATCGTTAATGAGGAGATGACCCCATCTAAAATGTGTATTGGCAAAGTTATGCTTCTTCTCTCGTTGTCCACGAATCCCACAAAGTTCATGTTTTTCCAATGTTGGAGAAGAACAGTATAATCCTTTGACGGGGAAAGGCCTGTCTTTTCCCTGTTGGAAAAGTCGGAAATATGCGGACTTTCTTTGTGTGGGCTTTTTCACCCATTTTCGGCTATATGTCCGCAAATTTGCTCACGCCCACCCCCCCCCCCCCTTGCCCTCATTTAAAATTGCCAAGTGACAACCCTAAAACATTTTTTTTTTTTTTTTTAAATCTTGGACATATATTTAGCAAAACATTTCTGTACTAGGCCTTTTGTAGAAAACAATGATAATTAGACAATTTTTAGGTCAATATAAGCCTTGACAAGTGATGTAGTTATTGTCATTCTTCATCGTTCTAGATTATTGAATGGAAGCTAACCAAAAATATTGACAACGTTTTGCTCTCATGATTTATATCTCTAACTTACTTTGACGATAAACTCTAACTTACATCTGGAAAAAAACATAATGTTCAAGTTCAAGTTCGTTTATTTATTTCATTTCCATAAAAAACACAGCAAATGCAAATAAACATACAAGTATAAATACATACAAGGAATGGTCAGTTATTACAATAGTTTAAAATGAAATTGGAGAACATAGGAAAGGCCCGTGGTGGCTTTGTATAAAAAGTTCCCCGAATATTATAATTTATATTATTTATATTATTGAGCATATATGAGTTCGAGATATCACAAAATACAGCGATAAACACAAAATACAGCGATAAACACAAAATACAGCAATAAACACAATATAAAGACAAAAAACTACAAACATATGTATGAAATAATCTAAAATTGGAGGCGGGGGGAAGCAAAAAGGTTTGGAAGGTAAATTTAACGGTACTCAGAATAAAAGGTCTGTTTCATTTTTGTTTTAAATATTGAACTGTTTTTATAAAAGCGGAGGACTTGAGGAAGAGTGTTCCATATGTTTGGCAAAGTATTTCTTACAGATTTTTTAGAAAATGAACTTTTTACTTTCCATAAATGAAACGTGTTACAAAGCCGAGTATTGTGAGTATGAATTTGGTTATTGATCGAAAATATGGAGGATATTCTTTTTGGAAGTATATTTTGAAAAAAATAAAAACCAATTAGTGCAGTATGGTATTTGAACAAATCAAAAACATTTAGGGTTTTTAAACGAAGAAATAACGGAGCAGAGTGGGCATAATAATCACTACCTGTACAAATACGTAGAGCCTTCTTTTGTAATTTGAAGAGGGTATTAATTTTTCCATGATACGAATTTCCCCAAATACTTATACAATATGTAAGATAAGGTAATATAAGTGAGTTGTACAAAGTGAATAAAATGGGAAATGGTACATGAAATTTTAATTTATATAAAACACCAATAGATTTTGATACCTTGCTTATAACATTATCGATGTGGGAATCCCAACGAAGGTTGTTATCTACGGATACTCCAAGGAAATTTACAACATTTAATTTTGATATAGATGTAGTATCAATACTTAAAGTTACCTTATCTAGTACATTGGACACATTTTTACTCTTATTGTGAAATATACAAAAGTTTGTTTTAGAAAGATTTACTATCAATTTATTAGCTTTGAACCAAGTTGAAACCTTGTCTAATTCTTTGTTGACCTCGTGCTCGACATTATTTAAATCAGGTTGTGAAAAAATAAGAGTTGTGTCATCTGCATACATAATATACTGCATGATATGAGAAGATTGAATTAAGTCATTAATATATATCAAAAAAAGCAAAGGGCCAAGTATAGATCCCTGAGGAACTCCGTGTGTTATGTCTGCAAAATCAGAAGCATTATTATTATACATAGTAAATTGACGTCGATTGCATAAATAACTTTGAAAAAAATTAAGAGGGTTTCCACGTACACCATAAAAGTTCAATTTGGACAAGAGAATTGAATGATCAACTATATCAAATGCTTTTGATAAATCCATAAATATTCCAATACAAAAATTATTTTTTTCCATTGCTAAAGTCACTTTATCCTGCAAATCAATTAAAGCATGGGTTGTGGAATGATTACGTCGAAATCCAAATTGACAATCAGTAAGTATATTATGTTTAGAAAGAAAACTATACAATCGATTATAAACACATTTTTCTAGTAATTTAGATATACAAGGTAACAAAGATATTGGTCGATAATTTTTTAATGAATGACGGTCG